TGAAATATGATAAATTGTTTCCATAGCACTGTCCTTTCTTAACAACCACTTGCAATTTTCAACATGGTAAACAGAATTAACCAAAAAGGTGGAATGCTTTAGTCGGGAACACCGAACCAATTGTTGCCAAACATTTTGCAGTAGAGTATCTGAAAACTGAATATTCGGATTGCAATCCAGGTAACAACAATTCCAAATTATCTGTGATATCAGGATACAATGACTTGTCCATTTTTGGCAACAAGGCACGCACGATCCCCAAAGCATCAATCACACTTTGACCTTTCATTTCATCCAGGGCAACTTCTTCAGTATTAGCCAATAATTTCAATGGTTCAATCATTAATTCTTTCAATTTAGGAACTTCGACAAATAATTGGGATTTATAGAGGAGCAATAATTGTTCCAATGCCATCAAAGCACCATTTCTTTTAACTCTTGCTTCACGAACAGCTTTCTCATGAGCTGCAATATCTGCAGGATCAAGTTGTGCTTCCTCCTTTCTCAATGATAAAATATTATCCTTGTAAATGACATTATGATGGAATTCTGGAACTTCAGAAGTGTCAACACACAAAAATGCACACAAGTTTTTAACAATCTTGTCAACTGCACCTTTTTTACCAGATTTATTAAGCAATTCAACTAATTTGGCAACAGAACAAACAGATCTTTTTTGTAAGACCAATGTCTCTTCCAGTTTGACACTTTCCATTAATGACTTGATAATTGGGTTAAGTTTTTTAGGTACTCCTGTCAAAGCCAAGCTTGCAGCCGCATAACCAGCTAATATACTGTTTGTTCTTGATGCCAATACTGAACGAGATTCTTCTATAGCTATTTGTATTCTATGTTTGGTATCTTCAAGAGCTTGATTTGCTGACATTCTATGACTTGCGGATAAATGTTTCTTTAACTTATCAAAAGTTTCATGAACTATCTTTTCAGCATTTTCAAGTCCAAATGCACCAGGACCAGCTTCGGCTTCTCCTTGAATAACAACAGGCATTTGTGGAATCTTGGAAGAAGAAATCTTCGCAGTATTTATAAAAACATCAAACAACTGCAAGCATGCTGTTCTGACAGATTTCAAAGTAGGAACCAATTCTCTAAATGCAGGCAATGATTCTGGTTTTTGCAAGACATTAGTTAGTGGCTCAGCTAATAATTCAACAACTTTGGCTGGTATTTCTATTGATCTTTCATGTAATGCATTTGCGTACTCTTCTATAACAAAAGATGCCAATAATCTAGAAGTAGCATGACACGATTTCAAGTAACCTAATAATGCTTCGAAAATTTTTAATAATTTGTCTTCGGTGGTAATGTATGACAATGTCTTACCAAAGGCAGTGGCAGCCGCGCATCTCATACCAATCAACTTATCGTAACCAATCAACAGCACATCACCTTTATAAATTGGGGAATCAATATTAACTTTCAAATCTTCAATAGGGATATCACTGACTGGTTCTTCCGATTTACGTTTCTTACCACGACGATCATCATCTTTTAATGGTCCCAACATTTCACCCGATGGTCTCATAATTAACTCAGTACTCATGTAATAATTGTGTCTTGAAATACCAATTGGCGTCATTGTCAATGTCAATAGAGCCTGTGATTGCTTGGTGAAAACAGTATCCATATTTGTTTTAGTATGATTCATTTCCAACAAGAACTTGTTGTATACTTGAATGGATAGTTGCAAAACATCTGGTTTCTGTTCCACCAACAAGTTCTGAAAGATCAATCTCAACGCTTTAGCGGTGATCCAAGTTTTTGTAGTATTGTCTTCAATATTTAAGAATTCCAAGATGGTTCTTAACACAGCTTTTCTCACATTTGTAATAGAATGTCTCAAAAATGGAAACAATCTTGGCACTAAATTTTCAAATGAGTTGGATTTATCCTCAGTAGCACCTTGCTGCATAATTTCAATAACTTCTTTATGACTACACAACTTGGCCAACAAATCCATAACAGAACCAATGGAAGCAGATAAATCATCGCGCAAGTTGACCAAACAGTCCCAAATGACTGACAATAAAGTGGCGACAACATTCTTTCTCGTGGTGACAAACTGTTCTGCAATCGGGCTTAATGTCAAAGCAGCAACTGATTGAACATCATCATCACTTTCTTTCAACCCGCTCAACACCATGTCAACCACGTCATCAAACATATATGGATTGCTTAATAAGATATCCGTTCTGACACTAACAAGATATCTGACACCAAGTATACCACCATGTTTAGCTTCCCAGCATTTTGGAACAAGATCTTTCTGTAGAACCATAGAGTTCAAACAATCAAAAACTTTCAAGACGGTTTCTTCATTCAAATGAATTAATAACGCAGCTAGTGTTTGCGCACCAGATTCACGAACAGGAGCAACAACAGTATCGGAAACATAATCACCGAATCTATCAAGAACAAATAAAACACAAAGACGAACAGCTAAATCTTCAAGAGTTGCAGCATTATTTCTATTATTCTCTTCTAAACTCTTATTCATCACTCTACCTGCACCACCTCCATGTTTTTTGACTAATTCTCTCAAACCCAATGCAGCCCCATGTCGTATTTCCCACTTGTCATCGAACAAGTCAGCTAATAACAATTCATACACCCCTTGGAATTGCCATATTAGACCTGCGACTTTTGCATGTTGCGACAAGATTGGTGACAATTCAGCGACTTTAGCTTCAACAACCAATTTTTCACCACCTTGTTGAGATGTAACATCAAACTGTGGGTTTGAGTCCTTTCCATTTTTACTATTATCGTCAATATCCATACCTTCTCCATTCTCAATCATTTTTCTAGAAATAGAACTTTGAGAAATATCAACTGAGCGTACTTTGTTAGCACCATGTTTGGCATTTGCTTTAGCTCTTCTTTTTTGCATAGCCTTTAATCTAGCACTCGATACTGGTTTACTTGGGGTTTCATTTGGATTTGGTGTAGGTGATAATGATTTTGATTTTGATTCTGCTTCTTGCTTGAGTCCCGGCTCCTGTTTGATACCTGGTTCTTGTTTTAATGTAGGTACAGGTGTTTGACCGTCTTTTTCATCTGGGGTAGTTTGCTTATCTGGCTTCTCATTGGGTATAACACTACTTCTGTGTCTTTTAATTCTACCAATCAATGTAACATCGTTGGTATAATCCTCTATGCAATTGTCATCGGCTTTAGAAGCCAAAAATTTTGTTCCACATTTGATCAATTCATGCAAACTAAAAGCATCAAAACTGACTAAATTTGATAAATTATCATCCATTTTCTTTAATTCTTCTTCTCGTTCTTTCTTAATAACAATTTCATCATCTTCAACTTCTTTCTTAATAATTGGATCACTTTGTTCTTCTCTTTTAAGCAAATCATCCTCCTCTTTTTCTTGTTTTAGTAGGGTTTCAGAATTTGGGTCCCATAACTCAGCATTATTTACAATTCCACCAAATGCTCTTGCGGCCGCAATTCTGGTTTCCCATTTTGGTGATTTCAAAAATGGATAGACTCTTCCCAATAGACTCAATATATCTTCAGGGTGGGCTTTAGCTAGATCGGACAATTGATCAGCAGCTGTGTTTCTAATAAAAGGTGTAGATCCTGTTTCTAATAAAACGACTAATCGATCTAATCTTGACATCTTGTAGAAATATGAGTGTGTGTGGTTGTAAAAAAAAAATAAATTAAATTCCAATAAACTGTATATAAACAAGCGACACGCGGTGGATTATGTAAGTCGTGAAATACTTGTATACTTTTCTATAATGATAGTCGTGCACCGTGTTGAAGTGTCTGCGTGTGAGAATCAATTTTTCTTTTTTGTTTATTGTGGGTGAAATGATTTTTGAGGAGATGGGAAATTTTAATCAGTATTTATATTCACTTGAAACATCAGTTCAACAACAGAAAGAGAGTGAGCGATGCACAGAAAAAAAAAGTGCAAAAAAAAAAAATACACGCGCGACAATTTTTCTTTTTTTTTTAGTTTGTATTTCCTTCTCTTTTTTTTTGTTTCTTCTATTTCAAATGAATTTGCCCACGTACCAATCGAATAACCACAAAAGGGGTGGGAATCAAGAGTAATGTAGTCCTCGAAGGCGTGTGGAGTTAGGTAAATATATTGTACATTCTATATGTCTCTTTAAATGCATGGGGGAAATTATATCAATATCATGCAAAAGATCTTATGATGCCAATGATTAGGTCCTCACGTATATTTTCTCCTATTAACTTATTCTACCCAATAATACACACCCTTTTTTTTTTGACAACCCTTTGAAAGCCAATGGATACACCCATACTCATATCCATAAGAATTAAAAAAAGAAGCGTTGCTTATCTTTTTTTTTGCCTTCAACATCTTCGTGTTACAATTTACATGAATTGAAAGTAAAGTTTTTTTTTTATGGTTTATGATAAACTTTTACTTGGGTGTTCATTGTTTTGTTAGAGGAAAGATCAACATAGAACAGGATGTCGGACAACATACTTGAATAATCTCATTTTTTTTTGCTTTTCAAATTTATGATAATGGGTCAATTTCAGATTAAATACCAGTTTATAATCTTGCCATTCCATCGACAAAAAGAAAAGTGAACACTCATCAATGTTACACTCCACCCAGCCCCTTTTTTGTTTACGACAAACCCCATAGGAATCAAAATCTCCGGGCAAAAAGAAAAATTGCTATTGGAATAATGATGGAATATTGATTTTTTGTTTTTTGTTTATTTTGGTCAGTCCTATACACATCATCGGTAATGTTTATTTTTTACTTCTTAATAGAACCTACTTACAATTTCGTATATCATTAAGTGAACTTCTTTTCTCTGGAAGCTCTTGCTTCTTGTTTCTTGGATTCAACATCATCTCTTGTGGCATTATAATGGATGTTAGTATCTTGATTCATTGGATTTTCTGGAGATTTTTGGAATTCTTTGAAAAGCAAGTTTTTAATTTGATTCAATCTTAAACCAGGGTTTTCCTTTCTCATTTCTGGCAATCTCTTTTCTTCGTATGCATTATAAGCGGCCTTGACTCTTCTTTCTGGATGTCTATCAATATCTTTATTACTGACACCACCACCAGTACTGGTCAATGCCAATGCTTCCAAGGCACTATCAAGACCGGATGCACTTAATTCAGGGATATCCTTATTGAAGTCCAAGAAATCATCAATCTTACCAGCTCTTCTTTGGGCAACCTTTTCAGCACCTCTGTTCTTAGCTTTCACTGGTTTGGAAGGCATGCTTGCTTCTTCAGCAGCTAATAATGCATCACGTTCGGCTTTCTTACGAGCAGCTTCTTCTTTCTTAAATTGTTCTTCTTCTTTCTTCTTATTACCTTTTTTAGATCCTTGTTCCCATTTGGAGGCTTCTTCGTTTTCTAATTGATCCAAGGCTTCTTGTTTCTTTTTGGCTGCTTGTTCAGCTTTACGGGCATTTCCAGCTGCTTTCTTTGAGTTTTCTCCTGAGTTTTTCTTTGCCATTGTTGTTATGTAATTTGATGTGACGTGATGTGTAGAAGAAGAAAAAGTAGTATAAGCTAGTGTTGCCAGGTTTTTTTTTTCAGATTTTTTTTTTTTTTTATTTGGTGTCGGCCGATCGTTCATCGATATTGCCAATTATGCGAACTATGGAAAAGGGTTGCATGATTAAAATATCAAGAGATTATAGAATAGTACAGAAAAAAAAAAATCGAACATGAAACAGATATTTTCATTTGTGTATTGAGATCTTTATAACTTATTAGGTCTAAATACAACTCTGCCGGTGATTTTACCCTTGTCTAAATCATCAAGATATTTCGGTAATGAATTAAAATCCGCAACATGAACATTTGGCTTAATCAAACCTTTTGCAACCCATTTCATACATTCAATTTGTTCAGCAGAACTACCACCAAAATTAAAAATGATTTCAACTTCACGTATACCTAACTTGTAATTTGGAATAAACAATTTCGATCTTCCTAAACCAATCATCAATATCTTACCTCTTGATTTAATGTACTTGTCAGACACATTAAAAGTTGGTTGAATTCCAACAACATCAAAAATCAAATCAAATGACATTGGTTCGTGACTGGATTTACCTAAATCAGTATAATATTCACTAGCACCATATTCCAAAGCCAATTTTTCAAGTTCTGGTTTAACATCAGTGGCCACAACATAACAATTATAGTTTTTCAATATCTGAATAGCATTCAAACCCAATCCACCACAACCCTGAACCAAAACTTTAGTAGTTGGCAGTAATAAATGTTGAACTTTCTGAATTGCATGGAATGGTGTTAATACTGAATCTGTAGACACAGCAGCTTGCTCAAAAGTAACACCATCAGGAATAGGTAACAATGTACGTAAATTTTTAATCAACAAATATTGTTGAAATCCACCATCTTCATTCAATCCATAAGCTTGATTAGATGCATCACATCTACCATCATGACCTTGACGACAACTTTCACAAGAACCACATGCTTGTGCAATGGTTAATGCAAATTTTCCCCCTTTTTTATATACTGGATGATTACTCAAATTTGAACCAACTTGACTGATTTGACCAGCAATTTCATGCCCCATGACAAATTTAGTAGCAGTTTTTAAAGGTGGTAAACTTTCAATTGGTCCCCCAATTAATGTATGTGGATCAGAAAGACATAATCCAGCTGCTTCAATTTTTAATAATACTTCATTTGGACCAGGAGTCGGAATGGCAATATTGGTGAATTTTTGAATAGTCTTGTGGCCCGCTACGTAACCAAAACCTTGTTGGGTAGGCATTTTAATTTGTGTTGTTGAATATATAAATATTGAATTTGAAGGAGATTCATGTCTATATTTATACTTGGAAGATTGTTCTTCGATCCATAAGAATTGTGGGGAATATAGAGAGGGGGACAGCTGAGCGGATTATTTTTTTTTGGGTAAGGTGTTGATTGAGTGAACGGATTTATTTTTAATTTTCCATGTTTGCATCCATCATCGTTTAGAATTAGGGGGGAATTGTTACCACCGAAGGTATCTTCCTTCTTTTAACTACATCAATACTATTCGGAGACAAATATTCTATTATAATTAGGAAAAAAAGTATACTACTATACATAAAGTGAAAAAAAAACAGAAAAGTTACCATAGGCAAAATTAATGAATAAATAACGAACTGAAAGATATAAAAAAGCAAAAACACAACTGGAAACCAAATATAACCTAATGAACTTTTCTTTTTTAATTATTTTGCCTGTTTAATCATTTATAGAATCATGAAAATATAAAATGTAATTGTGGGGAGGAGATAAGGTGGGAAGGCTCTTATACTTTTTGTTTTTTAGCAGATGGTTCTTCGGCAGCTTCTTGCTCAGCAACATCTTCTTCTTTACCATTACTTACTGGTTTCAAAAGTGGAGTATTAGCTGTACTTTGTTCAGCATGGAAATCTTTAATAATAGAATCAACATCATCAATGTTTAATTGTCTAACATCACCCAATTTTTTAATTTTATTAGTAACATCTTTAACTTGATCATCAGTCAAGTGCAAGTTCAATTGTTCAACTCTTGATTTAATAGCATTCCAACCAGTCAATCTGTTGGCGAAATGAATATATCTAGTCAAACCGAAATCATTTGGATTCAAAATTTCATATGTGGATGGGTTAGCCAAGATAGCTTTAGCATGGATACCAGCTTTATGGGTGAAAGCACAGAAACCAGTGATTGGATTGTTAAATGGAATGTTAATTTGAACGGCATCAGCAACCAAGTTTTCCAAGTCTCTCAATTTGTGTAATTTATATTTGGACAAGACATAATCACGATCAGCAGTGATCATTCTAGCCATCAAGGCACCTAAAGGTGTAATACCATTTCTTTCACCAATACCCAAAACACTGACATCAATCAATTTAGCACCAGCTTCCAAAGCAGTGTAAGCATTGGCAATGGCACAACCAGTATCGTTATGGAAATGACATTCAATATCACAAGAAACAACAGATTTTAAAGTTTTAACCAATTCGTAAACTTGTCTTGGGTTAGCACAACCAACGGTATCAGCAATACCAACTCTGTTGACACCAATTTTGTCAACAGTACGGTAAATGTTCAACAAATCAACAATATCGGATCTAAAAGAATCTTCAGATGAGAATCTAATTTCAATACCTTTGGATTTGACAAATTCAATAACTTCAATGGCACTTTGAGCAATATAGTTCATATCTTTACCATGAGAATATTGTCTCAAGAATTGAGAAGTACCAATGACAACATCAACACCATCGACACCGGTTTCAACGGCAACTCTAGCATCATCCATATGACATCTAATGTGAGTTAAAATTTTGGCTTTTAAACCCAATTTACAAATGGCTTCACAATCTCTTCTTGATTGTTCAGAAGCAACAGGGGAAGTCAATTCAATGTAATCAACACCGAAATCATCCAAAGCTTTAGCAATTTCGATTTTCTTTTCAGTGGTGAAGAAAGCATTGGCAAATTGCTCACCTTCTCTTAAAGTTGATTCGATAACTTCGAATTTGTTAACGTTGGATAAGAAATCAGATGGGTTTGGACCGTATGGATTAGAAGGAACAGACATGATTGTAGATAGTAATATGAAATTAAGAAATAATTATTAATGATGAAAAGAAAAAGAAGAAGAAAAAAGGAAAAGTAAAAAATAAAAAAAAAAACCAAAATTCAGAATAAAGTTGATCTTTAAATAATGCTGTGAAAATTGTGAAAATTTTTCTTTCCAGCTATTATTCCTCCCCTCATAATATGTGAGTAATTGTGGGATGTGAAATGAAAATGTTTACCGCGCGGTATAGGAGCAAGCAGGAGAGGACCCAGGCGATAACGAATTGCTGCTAATTTTGTGCGACACACACTCCGATAAAAATTTTTTTTTTTTTCTAGTTTGCCATTTTTGTACTATGGTTCTATTATGACTCATATTTTACCACTATGATATTTTATATAACCAAACACATTTCTTCCTATGAGAAGAGAAGAAAATTTTTTTTCCCCCAGCCAATGTCACGTGCACAATAAATGAATAATTCTACTTTGTTCAATTGGCCACACTGTCTTGCAAAAAAGGAGATCAACGTATTGTAATTCTATTACTCTAACAAATGAACAATGGCTAATTTAGTCATTATTGTATGTGTGTATCAAACTTGTTATTTTATTACTCATATAAAAAAAATGTCTTCAAATTGCCCCAAGTTCAAGTATTGCGTCATCATTGTAATGAGAATTGGTTGCCAAAAACAGAAAGAGATTTTTTTCTTCTTTACTTTCAATTACGGCACTCCACGAATTTACTCATCTTTTCAGACGGTGAATGCAATAGAAAAAAAAAAGATAACTCCGGCGCAGCGGTTGCGGATTGACAGGACTAAACTAAATCAAGAACACCATCAGCAAACGGTAATATCATCTAAAAACACTAACTGAGACCGAATATGCTCCTGCTTAATCCACTTGTGCATAGATAATTGATTTGTCGCAAAAAAAAATATAACACGCTTAAAATACTAAACACTAATAAGTATAAAGATATATAAAACAAATTTACTGACTAACAAAAATAATAATAATCAAAAGAGAAGAGTGCTGTAGAATACTTATGTACAAACAGCCTCCTCTTTTAATTTGTTCTTTGAATATTTTATCATTTTAAAAATAACAGAAAAACACAATCAATATGTTTCACCCAAAAGGATAACCAACTTTACTTCTAAACTTCAATAGATACCATCTTGACAAATCTATACATCTCTTCTTTCATTCTAATAACCTCAATATTCTTGATATTCAATTTACCATTCATTCTATCAACGATAGATTTCACGATAGTATTGATTTCTTGGTTCTTCATCCCGGTGATGCTCTCCCAGTTCAAAACGTATTTGTTTTTGAGAACTCTATTTTCTTTAATTATAGCCAATTTGAAACAGCCAATAATCAATTTCTTCAACTCAAATCCCATATCATTATAATTGACAAAATTATTAGTTTGATTCAAGTATCTCAACAAATAAATAATATCCATATATCTAAACAAGTAAATAACAGCTTTCAAAAAAACAGGTAATGTTAATCTTAATCTACTGGTCAATAATAATAAGAACTTGTCTAATGGTAATTCATTTGGTTTTTGATTTCTTGGGGATTCTGGTGGGAAGGAATTTTGAATCTTGGCAGTAACGTATTTGACAATAATTGTCATAATCTGAGTTTGTTCAAGTTTACGTTCAGCCGGAGAAAGTTCCTTGGAAGATGATGCGGTTGCTAAAGTGGTCGAAGATTGTTTGACAGATTTAGTGACATCTTCAATTGTTAAAGTTGGTTGAGAACGAGCTTTGGCAGTTCGTTTAACCTTTTGGACATCTTGATGAACCACTGGCGTTGGATGATGAAGTTGAGCAGACTGCAGCTGCGCTTCATTCAGTTGTTGTTGTTGTTGTTGTTGTTGCGCTGATGATGTTCCACGTTCGGATAAATTACTTGGAATGGTAGTAGGGGTTGGTTGCAAAGATCTTTGTTTTTTCCACCCATGACTGGACTCTTTATTCATAACAGATGATTCGATATCTTCATCATCAGATACTAATGATGGAATATTGATAAACTCGCTAAAGTCATCCTTCAAATCCTCGTTATTTTGTACAGTCATGATGTCCAAAGATGACTCATATGAAAAGTCACTTTTGCCACCATTCTTATGGTTTCTACCTGCTTCCAAGAAAATAAATTGCGAAATATTACTCAAATCAGTGTCAACTGTTGCTTTGGTGGTAGAAAGGTTATGACTGGTGGCGGCATGAACACCACCATCATTATTGTTGCCAGTGGTTGAAGCCATATCGTGAATATTCTTATAAATATTGTCATTAATCATGTTTGCTCTTTTTCAATCACTAAATGAGAAACACAATCTAAATAAGGATACAAAAATAATTCAAAATAATAGACTTCTGTTTTCAAGTATTCAAATCAAATTCAGTAATAAATAATGATTAATCAAATCACCTTGATTAAATAAAAAAAAAATCCTTCTAATAATAATAGTAAATAAAAATGTATATGTGAATGGGTGTCGGTTCTTTCCTTGAACAAACTATCACACACAATCGATATAAGAATTAAATAAATTAAACCGTTTCAAAAATAAAAAAAACTCACTCCAAATATAAAATACAATAAGGGTACCTAAAAAATCCAGATCAAATAATACAGATATAAATATATATATATAAAAAAACTCACTAACTTAACTTGCCAGAATATACACTTAAATGATAAGGGTAAAGCACATTGTTGAAATTCTCTGGGTAATCAAAAATAATAATAAAATAAACTAAACGTAGTAAGTAAAAATAACTTTCATAAAATGTTTCTTAGGTTGAACTGGATTGGAATATACTAAACTTGAAGTGTATTAATCTATTTGGACTGGATTGTCTGGAATAGAGTGATGGATAATAGGTTGGTAAGTAATTTGAGATTCCTTATTTACTCTTCTGTATTTTTTTTTTTCTTCCTTTTCTTTTTTCCTCAATTGCTTGTAAATTTTTTTTTTCCCTCTCACTTTCAGTGTCACTCCCTTACTCACATTACGGAAAATGACTCACTTAAGGAAAAATAAAAAAAAAAAATTTGTGCACATCATTTCGGTTGTCCAATAACACAAAAGCCAATCACAGAACAAATAAAAATGAAAAAAAAGAAATTAAAAGTAGTCATTCCAATTATTGGTTTGTGGGTCCATAAAGTAGTGTACATTGCAACAAAATGTATCATGATGTTAATTTGTAAACCCTAACGAATAATAACGTGGTTGCAAAAACAACAACAAAAAAAAAGAGACATGGGACAACGGCATTAGAAGGTGTCAGCAGTGTCTGTAATAAAGATGATATAGCTTGATTAATATTGGGAGAAGTATGTATGAATGAGTGCTGGTACTATGAGAAACCCTGTTATGATTGAATTCTGTGTGCTGTGATTATACAACAAATGGATATCCAAAATGTACTTCAAACACCATAGTGAAAGAATAGTATAAAGAAAACATGCAATTGAATTGCAGTAAGTTGTTGTCTGATGATTCTTGAACCAAAAACTTTGCATCCAACCCCATATTCCAACTACCAACGACACGTGTCTAAACTGACAACCAACAACAATGTCATGGTTGCAATTACAATTATTCATATGTATTCTGTCGCATCAATATGAATTTAGTTACGTTGACGCGTGATTGTAGGTATAGTGGACTATTACATATCGCCACTGCCATTGACATTGACACCAAAATAGCCCAGTGACTTACTGATACTAAAATAGCACACACGCAAAGGAGTTCATTACAATGATATACTGTAGTATGAATCTCGTTCAAGACATTGTATTTCTATTTGTGATAAAGCATGAACACATAGTGGCAAAGGCATTTTGAAAAATAACTGACACGCTACGCCACTAACCAAGCTGCATTGCCAAAATAGTGCAATTATCAACCAGACATTAAGTCCTAAACTCAGGGTGAAACAATTGACTCCAAATAAGACGTGTCAACATATGACTAACACGTAAAACCGTAAAAACATGAAATTCAAGGATGAAGTTCTGGGGAAAAAAAGAATATAGTTCTGGAAAAAAATTGGTTGTGAAAGAAAGAAAAAAAAAGGAGGGAAAATATAAATTCTATGATTGATAAATTCGCCGTGCGATATGCTTAAATGCAGGTGAAAAAAAAAAATCTAATTACGAATTTTGCAACCTATGCATATTCACGAGAATCTACAATTTAAGACTAGAAAAGGTGTGAAATAACTTTTATTATAAGCTAATGAAATATAAAGTTGAGCTCTAAACAACCGAAAGATTGAAAAAATTTTTGAATAAAACCATGAAACCCAAGAAGACCGAAAACAATATTTTTTATTTTTATTTTTATTTTTATTTTATTTTTTGGAATTGAAGATCACCTAGAATAAATTCAAGGCAGAGAAGAAATGAAAGAAGAACAAGCACCACTAAAATCATCACACCTGTAGTGACACATCATTAGCTAAATAACCCCAATAATAAGGGAAAAGCAATTTATTTACCATTTACCACCTTTCTTTCCCTTACCTTTTTTACCTTTCTTTGGTTCTGGAACGTAAACTGGTTCTGGAGGACATTCTTCTTCACATGGTTCTGGTGGACATTCTGGTTCATAAACTGGTTCTGGTGGACATTCTTCATCAATCAAAATAACAACAATTTCAACTTCTTTACATTTGGAGTCAATTGAAGCGTCGTATAACTTGTAAGTACCACAATCATCAACTGGACATTCCCAGAAATCAGTACAACCATTGAGAGCCAACAACAAGTAACCATCTTCTTTAACAATGGTCCAACCACAAGTGAATAAAGCATCAGGTTGAACTGGATTATCAAATTGGAATTGATGGTTAGCAACAATTTCACCAATACTATCACATTCATCCTTCAAGATAGTTTCACATAAAGTAAAAGTATCAACACAATCTGTTTTATCAATAGTACAGTAATCAACTGGAGTAGGTGGAATATAACCGCGTTTGTCCTTTTCACATTTGCAATCGACTACTTCACCATTATGTTCTAATTGACCATCTTCAAGTTCGAAAGCCAAATAGATTACATCACCATCACATTTTTCTTTGACACCTAAAGCAAACTCATAATCAACAGTTTCTAAACCAACCAACTTTGGCTTTGGTTTTGGCTTGTAGTATTTTGGTTTAGCAACACCAGCACTGACCATAGCAAATAAGGACAAAGACAAAGTAACAGCTGAAAATTTCATTTTTTGGTTTGATTTGATTGATTACTGAATAGAAGTGTATTCTGATGAGGTAGAAGGATTAAAATAAAAAAAAAAACTTGAAAAACTTGAAGAAATCAACGAATATTTATAGTTTTTGAATGTATAAAAGAAGTTCAAGGATGAGGATAAAGAATAAATACAAATACCATCCCTTATGGTGTTTTGTCTACAAGGGTGATCTTAATATTCGCAACTATTTGGATTGGAGAGTGTCTGGGGGTAAAAATATCTCTTGAAATCACAAAATCAAAAACAATAGGACCAATATGTAATTACACACTGTATTTTCAGTAACAGGTAGTCACACTTACAGTATTTCTTACACTTGGAGAACCAATATGATCTTTTAGATGCTGAAGTAGTGTTATATTTAGTATGGTTGTATTACAAATGAAATTTATCTAATGATTGGTATCAAAATCATACGAAAAACTAGTCAAATAGGTGAATCGACTGTTTGCAATCCTAGTGATTTAACCAGATGCTAGTATAATATAGTATACCATAAACCCATACGTTTCCATGTGTGTTCCAGAAAATTTGGAGTGACGCCTTTGTTCTGGTCAAGAGCTGAATTTGGTGCACATACCCTTGACACCAAACACATCATCTAAAGATGCTATCCTACTATACACATTTACTAACTACCTTTTATATAGCAATGTTGCATTAGTTCCTCTGAAGTAGAATCGTCTGGTAGTTTATCTCCAGATATCGAGGCTTAGACGAAAGATTAGGTGATGGTCGTAATAAAGAGAGAAATAAGCCTTCATAGTCAATGTGTGGCTAGTTGATCTCCTTTTTTTTTTATTTCGACAAGAAAAACAGAACAATAACATCAATTACCTATTCACAACACACCAGGTAGCATACCACGGGTTCAATACTGGCATGACCATACACATATTTGTTTCCATAATTAACCACCACATAATCTTGCCTTCAAAGGAAAGAAAATAAATCCCGCGCGTAGATCGTCTCCAAAATCCACACGGAACGAGTCAATAAAATGGAGAGACAGAGACAGAAACAGAGAGAGAATCTGTGTGCGGGTACAAGAAACAAAAAAAAAAAAAAAAAAATTCAAAAGCGGAAGACAAAAATTCATCTTACTCAATCTGTTTCAAGAGATATCAAGAATTTTGATTTACACAAATTCTTTTTCAAGGCAGTACATCTCCGCTTTAATTCTCCCACATCACACACATGAGTGAATCCGCTGATTCTAGTTCTATGAGACTCCCAATTAAACAACGTACTTACAAAGATGCAATTAATGCGTTAAACTCTTTGCAATCCAATTTTGCTTCGATTGAAGCGACAAAAAAATTGGGTCCAAATGTCGATCGTAATGCATTATCCATCAATGAAGTTTACGAGTTCACAAGAAGATTGGGATACAAACCTAGTGATTTCAATAAATTGAATATTATCCATGTTACTGGTACTAAAGGTAAAGGTTCCACTTGTGCCTTCACTGAATCAATATTGAAACAATACCAACCACATCAAATCTCCAAGATTGGGTTATATACTTCACCACATTTGAAATCAGTCAGAGAAAGAATTAGAATCAATGGTGAACCAATAGAGCAAGAGAAGTTTGCCAAGTATTTCTTTGAAGTTTGGGATAAATTGTCAAGTACTAAATCAGACCCTGAAAAATGGCCTACTTTGCAACCATGCGATCAAGTCAAGCCAATGTACTTTAAGTATTTAACTGTGTTATCATTTCATGTTTTCTTACAAGAGAAAGTAGATACTGCAATTTATGAAGTTGGTGTTGGAGGTACTTATGATTCAACTAATATTATTGATAAACCAACAGTTACTGGTATTTCAGCATTAGGTATCGATCATACATTTATGTTGGGAGATACCATCGAAAGCATCACTGAGAATAAAACAGGTATTTTCAAAAATGGATCACCAGCCTTTGTATCCAAACAATTGGAATATCCCCAATCTCACGAATTGGTTGAAAAGAGAGCCAAAGAATTAGGTGCTTCATCATTGGAATTTGTTGATACCAAGGATTTACCAGAGATTGAATTAGGATTATCTGGTGATTTCCAAAAACAAAATGCTGCATTGGCTATTAGATTAGCAAATTCTCATTTGAAATCAATTGGTGTTACTGAAGACTTACCAGAGTTTAATTCAGATGGAACAATCAAAAAGTTATCAGAAAAGTTTATCACTGGTTTGAAAGTTGTAGATTGGCCAGGAAGATGTCAAATTATTGAACACAATCCAGAAGGTATAACATGGAACATTGATGGTGCCCATACATTGGAATCAATCAATGCTTCATCAACATGGTTCAGAACAGAACAAGAAAAGTTAACTACACCAAATATTAAAAGAGCTTTATTGTTCAACCAACAAGGTAGAGAAAACTACATTGAATTGTTGGAAAAATTATACACTACTGTCTGTGGTGGATCATCGGATATTCAATTTGATGATGTTATATTTACCACCAATACAACATGGTCATCGGGTCAATACAATTCTGAATTGATTTCAAAAAACACTTCCGAAGATGCTGTTAAGAAGCTCGAAATTCAAAACAATTTAAGTGATGCTTGGGCTAAGTTGGATGGTGGTAAAGCCAATAGACATGTGTTTGCAGATATTGAAACTGCTGTTGAATTCTTGAAAAAGGAATCTAATGGTAACTTACAAGTATTTGTATGTGGATCATTACATTTAGTTGGTGGTTTCTTAGTTGTCCTTGATAATGAAAGAGATTAAAACAGATTTCGTCATTGTTGTACACTTTAAATTTTTTTTATTTTATATATATGTATATGTATAACCACTCTCAGCTGTATATAATTATATAACAAATTAGAAGAAATTAGAAACAGATAATTTGACCAATTTAATTAGTGTTATTGTTAACAATGTTTTCTCTAGCAGCTTTAACAATATCATTAATGTTGGCTAAAGAATTTTGCCATTGTTCCAAAGCCAATTTAACTTGAGCCCAATTTTTACTGTTATCTTCACCAGCAATTATGAATCTATTAACTCTAGTTAAATAGAAAGTTTCTTCAAGTTGGTTTAATTTACCTTCAATAACACCGGATTTAATAGCTTCAATTAAAATTTCTTCAAATTCTAAACTTGATTCAACATTTGGAATTTCATTATATTTGAAAACAACAGCATCATGATCAGATCCAGTAGTAGTAGAATCAGCGAAATATTTAGCTAATGCTAAAATCTTACTCTTGGAATTAATAAATTTACCTTGAGATGATAAATCAGATGGGATTTGATCAATTGAAATGATTTCACCATGAACATATTTTTTGAAAATAACAACCAAAGGTTCAGATTGATTAGTAGATAAAGATTTTGCAACATTATTATTAACCAAATATGAAACATCAACAACTTTAGAAGATAATGCACATTTAATCAATTTAATTAATTCTTCTTTAGATAAATTATTAGATTGAGTGAATGATTTAATGTAATTTAATGATTTTTGACTATATTCACCATCCAATTCAATGAAATCCCAGAAAAGAGATTTAATTTCATCTTCATTACTTTTACTTTCTTTCAACCAATTAATTAAATTAGAACCAATATTATCTTGAATTAAACTGAAATCAATTCCTGAAGTTTTAATAACTTTTAAAACATTCTTCAATACATAAACTCTAGTTTTAGATTCATTTGGTAACAAGTTGAAAATTGTACTCAAGATTGATAAAATAGAAGTTGATTTAATGGATCTTCTATCTCTTAATGATGGTGGTTGTTGAGGATTAGTTTCAAATAAAATTGAATAAACTGGTGAATCAACATTATTTAAAACTTCATCTTGACTAGAAAGTTTAGATAAAATATGAATCAACAAATAAAAAGTTGGTTCAAATTCTTTATCAGTTAATTTTTTCAAATTTTCACTAGTTGAAACTTTTAAAATTTCTTTATTTAAATCTTGTTTAATTTGAGTTGATAATTCTTGTTGATTCCATGAAGCTTCTGGTAATAATGATTTGATGGCGGTGGAGAAATCAGTAGTTTTGTTTATACTGTCAATAATTTGACTATATTCTCTAATAGAATCTTCCAATTCAGTATCCACTACTATAACAGAGGCCATTTTGTTTTTTGCTATTGGTTAATACTAGTTGTGGTTGTTGGAATAAGTTGGTGATGGGATTCTCTGACTTTAATGAAAAAAAAAAATACTGAAAGGAAAAAAAAAAAAAATTTTCCAAATGGGAATGCACTCCATGCAGGAATTCAAATATTTAGTCGTGTGAACAAGTACAAACGATTTTGCAACTTTTTTTTTTCTTAGAATCATATTGATTAATTCTTCACTATAATTCTACAAGACGACAAAAAATTAAATCACAATATATGTATATATGTATATATGAATAAGCAACACTTATTATATATTTTCTTCACCTTCTTCTTCTTCATTAATGACCGGTTGATAGATAGAAGATTTTGTAAATGCATTTGAAGTTCCAGCAGAACTAGTATTATTTCGAGGATTGACCCAATCTTCAACTTGCTTAGTATCCAGGTATGCTTTTGGTTGATAATGCCCATTAACTGCTGTAGTCATCATCTTTTTACTTGGTTTGTTACTAAACTTGAATCCAATTGGAGGAGATGGTGCACGATGGTACGAAAGTCTTGACGCATCAGTGCTATTAGTATTTGGTATATTATTATTATTATTATTAATGTTAATGTTAACGTGGTTGATATTATTGTTGTTGTTGATGTTGTTGCGATGGAGATTGGCTTCTGCAAAACTATGTGCAGTAGGTGTGAGGATATTAGCATTGCCATTAATCAAAGGCATGGTAGCAGAAGTTCTGATATTACGTCTCTTGATAAGATCAGGAGAAACAGGTCTACCTATAGGCATGTTATCATCACTCATGATATTGCTATACCTATTTGAATCCTCTGAAATATCTTCCGATGAATTGCTTCTTAATCGAGATAACGAATTCTTTCTCTTTAAAGCATTGCTACTAGGAGTAGAACCACCACCACCACCAGTTCCGGTTATTGATGAAGTTGTTAAAATAGATCCATCTGAGACATGACTTCTTCGATAACTTGGTCTTTTCTTTCCTGAAGGACGTGATTGACTTATCGCAGTTGATGCCGTGGTATTAGGATTTTGGGATCTTGTATCTTGTGAGGTATTAATACTCGATTCGTAAACATAGTCATCATAATCCTCATCCTCATCCATTGTGTCAGTTTCATCGAGAATATCCAATTCCGATTCTGACAACATAGTAGACATTTGACTTAATTTACTCAACTGACTGATTTGGGATATCATTGATGATGGCCTGGTTCTGGCAAATCTTGTGGTTTCACCGGATGGAGGGGTACGTGGTAATTCTTGATTGGATTCGGTAGGAATTGCTGGCTGGATTGGATCAGAATCTCTTCTAAGATCAAGCAATGGCGGTTGTGCCAAAGTTGGTTGAGGGTTAGCCACAGCAGTAGCGTTGCTGTCATTACATTCAAGTTGAAGTGATTCTGGGTTTTCATTCTGTCTCATGTTTATCTTTAATGGCATTTCGTCATCCGTATCTAACATCTTCTCATTGGTAGACTTACTGTGGTTGGATTTGGTACTATAACGAGAAATTGTGTCATCGATACTTTCTTCCTTGTTCTTCTTCCAAAACTGAAGCTTATTTAATATCTTACCACTTTTGTTGGATTTCTTACTGGCCTCTTTTTCTTCAGCGATAACAGCAGACAATCGTCTTTCATCGGGAACAAAGGACACTGTCCTACGTAAAGGAGCATTGACTTCAGTATTGGAAACTGATCCCAAGGTAGATAAATCCCTTGAGTTTCGCCTTGATCTAGGTGCTAACGTAACGTTTGTGGTGGTTGCTCTTGGAGACGGCACTTCAAAATTAAGACGGCTGGTTTGTGAAGATTTCGGCAGTTGAGGTGCAACTGGCACAGCTTCATTTCTATCAGTTGACTTTCTAGTGACAATTACCGAATTACGGTTAGAATTTTTTCCTGAAGCCAAACTCAAACTGGACATAATTCTTTCCAATGGTTGGGCACCCACCAAGGACTGGTCGGATAATGACAAAACACTCTTGACCCTTTTTCTGGATTTCCGAAGCGAATTCTTGGCTTCGTACAATTTCCTTTTTCTCTCCTTGTAATATCTCTTTTTCTTCTTTGAGAACTCTTGAGTAAGTAACAATTCATAAAATGCCGTTAACAGATTTATCTCATGATTATTTGCCGTAGCTTGCAATTCGTCAATATCAAAATCTATTCTTTGCAACTTTCTAAGCAAATCTCGTTCAATTTTAGATTCAAATGGTTGGTCAATGCTATTATAATGCTGGTTGATTGAGAGGATGGATTCTGTATCACCACCAGATCCACTTCCTCCAACTGTTCTTCTTGAATTCTTCTCCAAATGCTTGTTGTAGTTGTCAATTAAAAAAGACGAGTTCAATATTTCATTCAAGCTTGGTCTTTGGTTAGGATCCTTGTTTAACATCTTCAAAATCAACATGTTTACCTCCACTGGGACATGGTCGAAAACCATTGGCTCGTTGTGTATGATTTTTTGTTGGATTTTCATTTCATTGTCATCATCAAATGGCATCATCCCATTTAGCATTGTGTATAAGATTATTCCCATAGACCAAATATCAACAGCAAATCCTGAATATTTCTGCTGGCTTAATACTTCGGGAGCCATGTACACGGTAGTACCACATATAGTAGTTAAGAATTTCCTACTTTGAGGATTGAATTCTCTAATAAATCCAAAATCTGTAAGTTTAACAATTGACTTTTTATTATCGGCCAACAATATATTCTCCAATTTTAAATCTCGGTGACTCAAATTCAAAGAATGAACGTATTTAACAGCTAATACAATCTGGAAAAAGATGTTTCTGCACTCTTCCAACTCTAGTCTTTTTTTCTCATAAATATAATAGTATAACTCACCACCTTGACAGTACTCTAATGCTATCCAAAGATGATTCTCTGTTTTAATCACTTCATATAGACTGACGATATTTTTATGCTTCAATTGTTTATGATAATAAATTTCCCTTACTATATTTGGGTCGTCGATTCGTCCACATTTTAAAACAACATTGATGTTTAGCAATACATGAGTTGCTAGATAAGCCTTACCAAATGACCCTTCACCAATTTCTTTTATAATTTTATAATTCCCGATTTGACTTATTTTTGGTGAAGTTATTTCCAAATAGAAATCATTATACTGAGCCGCTAGTTGGGCCGTGTTATTAATAAATTTAGATGATCCAACTCCGTTCATTTATCCATATGGTATCTTGTTGATAAATTTAAGGGATATTGCCACTAAGGTTGTTAAAATAGGAAATAAGATGTCAAGTTGTATACAAAAATAATAGTTAACTTAGGAATACAACGAAAACAATACTACTGTAATCTCTCCTATCCTTTTGATGTTACGTTCTAATTTACTTGGGAAAAGAAAAAAATTACAAGCAAAAAAAAAAAAAAAAAAAATAATAGAAAGGTTCGGGTACGTGGACGATAATGTCAATGAGTTGTAGGATTGATTATGATATGTGAGATGATTGTGATCTAGGACTAACTAGAAAAAATGAACCCTTTTCAAGAATCTAACTTAAGCAATTGTTAATAAAACAAAGTTCTTGCTGTCTTTTGTAATTTCAAGTGATAGAGTTTTTTTGAATTAGCACGAAACTCAAATGGAAAAAAAAAAAAAAAAATTGTTCGATTCGTGTACAAAACACAAAAACCGAGTAAACTTTTACTGGGCTCAGTCATCCATCATCAGGTTAGGGCCACACTGGAACCAATTTCCTCTCGAGGAGGGAGTGGGGAGGCGGTCGACGCGCATTTATTAAAAATTGTAGACAATAAGAGAAAGAAAAATCTTACCTTACGCGGCACCCAGGGCCAGCCAACAATAATAATAAAAAGAAAAAACTGGCATTGTGTCGCACTAGCGGCTTTGGGTAAAATGCAGGAAAATACAGAGCAAGACGGAAAAAAAAAAAAAATCAGATTATCAAAAGATTCCTCGATGGATGGGATTGATAATAACTTGCTATTCAATAGAGACTAGACATACACAACATGTACCAGCGAATATTATACAGATCCCTACTATCTAAGGGAACGAAGAGTATATTATGCAGAACAACGAGGAATACAGTAGGTGTGATCCAATTTGCTCGAAATTTTTCACTTACATCGATCAGATCAAATATCAGCGAAGTATCTAACATACCAGAATTACAAACTACAACAACCGAAAATAAACCTGTAGTGGTAAAGGATAATGAAAGTTTGTTTCATAAACACTTTAAGAGAAATGTCAATAGTTATGCGAGCTCTGTGGGAATTGAAATGCTTGAAGGGACGATACCTGAACCATATGGAATTCTTAATAACCAAACTGATGAGGAAAAGAAGAAACTTGTGGAGAAATTTCGCAAGACCCTTGTTCAAATTGCTAATGATTTAGAAATACAAAAGAACTTCTTGAATACAAAAATCACCATTAATGATTTTGTTAATCCTACATACTCAAAATTAATGAGATTAGTATATCTCATCGAGAATGAAACAGTGCCAAAGAATTTGTTAGATATTTTTGGTATCAAAACCAATAATGAACTCATTACAAGAATACTTTCACATTTGTTACATCAAGATTTTCTTAAGGAAAAAATAGCTAAAGTTTCATATCAATCTTCGACGATAGATATTTCAGTACCTGCTGAATGGTTTCCAGAAGCTAGAAAAATGAAAAGAAAAATAGTTATGCATGTTGGTCCAACCAATAGTGGGAAAACATATAATTCATTAGTGAAATTATCAAAAAGTAAAACAGGTTATTATGCTGGACCATTGAGATTATTGGCTAGAGAAGTTTACGAAAGATTTAACGATCAAGGTGTTGGTTGTAATTTGATCACTGGGGAAGAAATTGTCCCATTTATTGATGAACATGGTAAAATTAGTGGATTGGCATCTGGTACCATTGAAATGATTCCATTGCATAGAAAAATGGATCTTTGTGTCATTGATGAAATCCAAATGATTGCTGATTCAAGAAGGGGTTCAGTTTGGACAAATGCAGTATTGGGAGTTTTAGCACATGAAATACATCTTTGTGGTGAAGAAAGTGCAGTTCCATTGATTCAGAAAATTGTCGAAATCACTGGTGACGAGTTAGAAGTTAAACATTTTAAACGATTGGGTAAATTAACTGTTGAGAAAACCAGTACCAGATTGCTGCAGTTGAAGAAAGGTGACTGTTTAGTTGCCTTTTCCAAAAGAAAAATTATGGATTATAAATGTAGAATTGAACAAGAAAGTCGATTAAAAGTAGGTGTTGTTTACGGTGCATTACCACCTGAAATCAGATCTCAAGAAGCTGCCAAGTTCAACAGAGGAGAATATGATGTGTTGGTTGCATCTGATGCTGTTGGTATGGGTTTGAATTTGAAAATTAATCGTGTTGTTTTCAGTGGGATAAGTAAATATGACGGAAGTGTTGTAAAGAATTTGACGGTGCTGCAGGTGAAACAAATCGCAGGTAGAGCCGGGAGATACAGCAAAGATACTGGTTCTAAGGAAGGGTTTGTTACTGCTTTACAAAGATCAAGTTTGGTTTATATACAAGAATGTTTAAGAGAACCAGTGTCCTACTTGCAACAAGCATGTATCTGGCCAACTAATAACATTTGGAGAAACTACATGGTTAATGGACGTACTGACAAAGTACAATTATCAGATGTGTTACGATCATATTTCCTGACAATGTTAACTACCAGACATGGGTTATACTTTGTATCTGAATGGGACCAAAAGGTTGAATTATTGGATTTAATCAGTCTGGATAAACATTTATCGAGAATGAGTATTGATGATCAATTGACATTATGTGAAACACCCATAGGTTTGGCTAAAGCTAAAGGATCTCAAGTAATGTTACAAGCTGTACATGATTTCTTCAAAACCATTGTTGATCGAGATTGTAAATCCATTTTTGATTACAAGTTCTTAGATTTGGAGTTGATTTCCCAAAGAGCAGTAATTAACTCTGATCTCAATGTTACTTTGAAAAATGTGGATAACCTTGAAAATATGCACAAGATGTTATTGTTGTTCATGTGGTTGAGTCAACGTTTCCCAACATTATTTATTGATAAGGAAAGTGCTCTTGAAATGAAAGTTCTTGTGGAGAAGAGAATAACTGAGGAGTTGACAAACATTGAAAGACTCAACAAATTAGGAGGGAGAAGCTCAAATTCTTATCACAGACACAGAAACAATCGTTGTTGATGTATAAATATGTATCTATAAGCGATGCGTGTAAATAGTATTAGACAATCCTGTAGATAGAGCTAAGGGGTTTTTTTTTATAGACAATTGAAATTTAGAGTTAATTATTTTTCTTGATCAGTAGGAAGGTGGGGAGGAACAAAGAGATCTCCCCCACATTAATAATTATTATGGAGGGAATCATTTGCTCTGAGATGATATAATTAGATCCCCCAATTTTTGACAATTCGTGTACGTGCAATTTTTACTTTTTTATTCTTCCTCCACGCTCCCCACCTCCATGCCTAGAAATAATAGAGAGAAAGAAAAACAAATTAAAGTATATAAAGGTTACCCAATCAATGCAAGTGCCAAAAAAAAAAGAAATCAATCCAACATCGGAAAAAGCTGAAATTGTAATCAATTTCAACATTCACTCATAACTCATCAGCAATTATATAAATACTCCCTTTTATAGACCATATTCATTTTAATTCCAAATTTTTTTTTTCACAAATTCAAGACAATTACAAACATCAACTAGACAAAAAAAAACAAATATGACTAAATCAAAATCAACAGTTATCGTAGTAGGTGGTCCAGCAGGTACCGGAAAAACCACCCAAGGTGAAGCATTATCTAGTTATTTTAAATGTCCATTTATCGAAGGTGATGCATTGCACCCTCAAGCTAATATTGATAAAATGTCATCAGGAATCCCATTAACTGATGATGATAGATGGGGTTGGTTAGAAGAAATTAGTCAAACTTCAAGTTCATCAGCTGCTAATCCCGATAATGAATCTCATATTGCGATTGTTTCTTGTTCTATGTTGAAGAAGAAATATCGTGATTATATTAAAGAACATTCTTCTAATCCAGATGTTGTTTTCCGATTTGTTTTTATTTATACCACATTTGAAGAATTGATGAACCGAGTAAGCAATCGAAAGGGACATTTTATGAAGAATGATATGGTTAAATCACAATATGATATCATGGAAATACCACAAGGTGATGAATTGTTAAACAATGGTGGTGATTGTATTGCAATTGATGCTACTGGTAAATCGCCAGAGGTTATTTCCAAAGAAATCATTGACTATCAAGATTTGGCTTAGGTCAGATTAGATTAGAGTAGGTTGAGTCTGAGATTGTATGTATGTACGAGTCACGTGATTTCTATAACTGAATATGTGTAATAAGATGAACCCCATTGTTAGAATCTTGCGTATGTGTAGTGTAAGGTTTTGTGTGTGTGTGTGTGTATTAATGAAGAGGCACACACACGTTAGCGAATGGACAGAAAAACAAATAAATTGATTGTTCACACATGTACACGAACTCTCATACAAAGTTAATGACTTAGAAGAAGAAGAAGAAGAAGAAGAAAAAAAATTGAGGACACACACACTCACATAGACAGTTGTATATTGTATACACATTGAGATATATCTATACTTGTTTGTTCTATATCGTTGGGTTTTTCTTTTTAATTAGGTATACAGAATTCAAATTTTAATTCCCAAACAGAATTGGCTCATTACCATACATTTCACTTCTGCAAGAACAAAGCTGCCCGGTGTTAATATTTTTTTTTATTGAACTCATCGTCAAATACAATCATATCTTCATCAACTGATTATTATTATTATTGTTAATTTTTTTTTTTTTTTTTTTTTTTTGAATTGTATATTTCAATTTCCCATTCTCTTTCGTTATTATTCAATTATAACCATTACTACGACCTTATCCTTTAATTCCGATCATTTGAGATAAAACAACAGGTCACTTTTTTTTTTGGCATTAATATTTCATATTCCCATGACATCCACACCACTCGAACTTGAACTTGAATCATTACCATATATAAATCCATCATTAGATAGAAGAATAGTTTTTATAACAGGGGGAAATAGTGGACTAGGGTTTTATACAGTTCTACAGTTGTATCTTCATGGATATACTATTTATCTAGCAGGTCGATCAAAATCAAGATGTTTAAATTCAATTAAAGAATTAAAATTAAAAGCTAAAGAAATTCAAGATACTTATTCATTGGAAGAATCAAATAATAGATTTTTAGGAGATTTAAGATTTTTAGAAATTGATTTAAGTAATTTAAATCTGATTATTAATGCTGTTGAAAATTTTAAAAAATTGGAAGATCATTTACATATTTTAATTAATAATGCTGGTGCCATGGCTTTACCTTATACTTTAACAATAGATAATTTTGATATTCAATTACAAACAAATTTCATATCTCCATTAGTTTTAACAACTAAATTATTACCTATATTGGAGAAAACAAAAGATAAATTCCCAAGTTTACCTACTCCAAGAATAATATATCGAAGTTCATTTGGTCATTTATTTGCTTTACAATATTTCAATTTAAGTAATTCATTGGATTATTATCCTAATTTAGTATTTACATGGGTAAGATATGGTATGGCAAAAGTAGCAGGAATTCATTTCATGAAAATGTTGAGTTTACGTAATCCAAAAATATTATTTTTAACAGTACATCCAGGATTAATTATGAATACTAATTTATTTACTTATTGGACAAGACTACCTATTGTTGGAATAATGTTTTGGTGTTTATTTCATATATTTGGTTATTTCTTTGGTACCACAAGTAAAGAAGGTGCCAATGTGGTGATTAAATGTTGTTTAGATGAAAAATTATCGGTGGAGAAAGATAATGGGAAATATTTTGGTCCTGATGGTAAAGAATCCCAACCTTCAAATATAGCTACTAATATGGATTATGCGGCAAGAACATGGATTTGGACCATTAATGAGTTGAGTAAACGAGGTATAACAATACCTAATCTGTAAATCATTATCTTTTATGTATTCTACATATACATGTAAATCATGTTGCTTATTAATACTTGGTGTATCTTTCAATAAGAATATCTTCAAGTGTCTTTGGTGTAGGATCAGTTTGCAAATTTTTCAAATTTTCAGATAATTCAACTATTTGAGGTTCATTTATTTCGGAGTCATCAATTTCAGTTATCTTTGGAGATTGTGATAATGGTGTTGTTTGATGATAAGCAAATTCATCATCCTCATCATCACTATCAATTTGTTCTTCTTCTTTTTGTTCTTCTTCGTCTTCTTCTTGATCATCGTCAATATCTTCCCAATCACTATCTTCATCATCTGAATCATCAACTATATCACCTTGTTTACGTAATTTCTTTTTAAACTTCATATATTCAGCATAATTCATATCTCCTTGATATTCACCAATTTCATGTCGTTTTCTTTCTTTTTCTTCTTCTTCAATACCTAATATCACATTAGTTTCAAGAAATTCGGGAAAATCTTCAAATTCACTATTTTTAAAATCCAATCGAAAAGTTTCAACTTGATTTAACATCAGTAATTTAAATTTATCATAAAATTCAATAGTTTTATCTTTATCTAACCAAATATCAGTAATTTCAAAATATTTCTCTCTAAATTCCATCAATCTTTCATTTCCATCAAATTCATCATAATCCGGATCATCTTCCTCATCATCAATCTCCTCATCTTCCTCTTCAAGAATATTCTTTGAAATATTTAAGATTTCATTCAATTGACTAGCTAGTTTCTCTTCTTCTTCCACTTCCTCCTCATCATCTTTATCAAATGACAGACTAAATAATTCATACGCGTCTTTATTTTCCCCAACTTCATGATCAATCAATCCTCTATTGATTAATTCCTTTTGTAAATCGTATCTTGATACTTGTTTAATATCCAGTGGTATTTCAGGCTTTACATTCAAATCATTATAAAACTTCAATAATCCATTAACAATTACATCTTTAGCAGTTAAATCAGGACGATTTTGACAAATTGCTAAAATAACACCTAAATTTAAAGTATTCATAGGTATACTAACCAGACAATTATTATTTCTATCTTCTTCTTCATGTAATTCAATCTTATCTATTTTTGATTCATTTTCTAAACTTATTAAAGATAAGGATAATAAATTAACATCATTTGTAATTAATTTACCTACGTCTTTTGGTAAATTATCAATTTTCACATCATGAATATATTTTAAATATTCATCTAATTCACTTTGATTTTTCCAATATTCAGACATGGCTGAATTAATTGTATAATCTTGATTATTTAATTGTTGAATAGCAAGATATAAATTAATATATCTATCATCATGTAAATTTAATACAATAATTGAATAATCATGAATCCAAACTCTATTAATTGATGTTCCTACTTCTTCAAGATCATTAGGTAAAAAATCATGACAATGAATTAATAATGGTTCAATATCAATGGAATCAAATATATGAATATATGAATCTTTATGATATTTAGTAAATTGAAATAACAATGAGACTAATAATAACGATTCTCTAATATACTCATGATAATTAAGTTCTCCATGAATATAATCAATTGTTAGATTATTAAATACTGTTTGTTGTTGAGTAATTGTAGGTGGTTGAATAATCCAGGGATATGATTTAATCCAGGGGTCTAAAAATTGAGATAATTTAGTCAAACAAGTAGGAATATCTTTGGATACTATAATAAATGTTATTGTCGTATCATTGAAACGATTTTCTATTTCGTATAAATTCAATTCATCTTCAGTCCATAAATAATCAGTACTCATTATTATCTGTTTTATTCTGTAATGGTGATTCTACAAATTAAAATGAATATAATAATAGCCATGTATATAAAATTTTCCCATCTACTTTCTTTCTATACAAAATTCCGCACGCGAAATTATATTGAAGATCGCACTACTTTGTTTGTTTTCTATAATAGCCACATATTTAAGCTGATTATAATTTGGCATCAGAATCAACTTTTTCAATGACAATGGCAGAAGCACCACCACCACCGTTACAGACACCAGCAGCACCAAATCTACCACCTTCTTGAGTCAAAACAGATAACAAGGTAACAACAATTCTAGCACCACTACAACCCAATGGGTGACCCATGGCAACAGCACCACCATAAACATTCAATTTTTCCAATGGAATGTTAACCAATTCAGCATTGGCCAAACCAACAACAGAGAAGGCTTCGTTCAATTCAAAGAAATCAACTTTATCAAGAGACAAACCAGCATGTTTGATGGCTTTTGGAACAGCTAAAGCTGGAGCAATGGTGAAATCAAATGGAGTTCTAGCAGCTTCACCCCAACCAGAAACTTTAGCTAATGGTTTCAAACCCAATTGTTTCAATTTGGCTTCAGAAACCAAAATTAAAGCAGCACCACCATCATTCAATTTAGATGCATTTGGACCAGTAACAGTACCGTTATCTTTTTGGAAAACAGTTCTGGCAGACTTAAGTTTTTCTTCATTGAATTTACCAATTTCTTCATCATTTTCAACAACGGTATCTGGTTTACCTCTGAATCCTTTGATGGTAACTGGAGCAATTTCTGATTTGAATTTACCTTGACTTAAAGCATTACCGGCTTTTTTGTAGGAGTTAATGGCGAAATTGTCTTGATCATCTCTGGAGAAACCATGGTCTTTGGCACATTTTTCAGCAGCAACACCCATCAATTTTTCTTCATAAACATCTAATAAACCATCTTTTTGAACACCATCAACCAAAGTGGCATCACCATATCTAGCACCACTTCTAGCACTTGGCAAGTAGTATGGAGTGTTGGACATGGATTCAGCACCACCAACAACGACAACATCACTAGTACCACAGATGATATTTTGGGCACCAATAATAATAGCCTTCATACCAGAAGCACAAACTTTGTTAATGGTGGAGGCAACAATAGTATCTGGTAATCCTGCTTTCAAGGCAACTTGTCTAGCTGGGGCTTGACCAACATTAGCTTGTAAGACACCACCAAAGACAATTTCATCAACGTCTTGTGGTTTGATTTGTGGAACTTTAGCTAATGCTGCTTTGACAGCATGAGCACCCAAATCGGAATAAGTCAATGATGACAAAGATCCTTGGAAGGAACCAATTGGAGTTCTTGCTGTTGAAACAATATAGACTGGTGGGAGAGTCATGATGTGGATAATCTAGTTGAATATGTAATTAATCTAGCAGAAGTAGTAATGCTATAAGGTAATAGAAAAAGAAAAAGAAAGAAACGAAAAAAAAAAGTTTGGAATGAGAGGAGGTGGTAGTGGTGTGTATGGTTGTCAAACCAAACCGTTTTTATAGTGAAAAAAAAAAAAAAAAAAAAAAAAAAGAAATCAAGTTATACGACGTGTGCGTGTGTGTGGGTGGTGGACTGGTATCAAGTGCCGAGGGAACGAGATAAAAATTTTTTTTAACAAACGAGAGAAGTGGAGATTGTAATTAATAAGAAGTATAATAGTTAATCTATTCCGAAATCATGGGCACCATTTCCTTTCCCCCATGGAGATTTTGATTATTAAAAATCTCCGATGTATGTAGATGTTATCTCCATTTATACGATCATAATTGGTAAGACAGAATGATATTATATCATAATATATTTTAGGTATGAGATACTGTCCATGTTCTCTTTAGTAACATGACGAAGAAAAAATAATAATAAAAATTAGCAACGAAAAAGAAAAAGACTCTAATCCACAATCTACATTGACAACATGCTTAATCAAACAATGATTAGATTACTTAGGGTACAAACAATTAAACCATGTCTTTATAGAACATCACCATTTGGTGTAAGAGCATTTGCAACAACCACACCGAAACTAAAACTTTTCCAATCTAAACCACAAGTTACACGTCCATCATCAATTTCTAAAGAACAACAACAACAACTAGATAATCATCCAATACTTAAAAGAGTTCCTAAATTTTTACGTTCATATGCATCTAAATTCATCAATGCACCAATATCACATTTAATTTCATTTATTATTCTTCATGAAATAACAGCAATTATTCCTCTTGTATCTTTATGGTATTTTTTCCATAATCATCCAAATTATGTACCTATGGAAATTCCAAATTGGGCATTAGAACAAGGTGCTAAAGTTATTGATTATGCTATTACTAAAGTAACTAACTGGGAAATAAATTCAAAAGATAAAATGCAATTAATTATTGAAGGTGCTTATGCTTTTAGTATTGTTAAATTTTTGATTCCTGCTAGAGTAATGATTAGTTTATATTTAATGCCTTGGTTTGCTAAATGGTTTGTTGTACCAATACTGAATATCTTTAGTAATTTCAGACAAATCATAAACTTAAAGAAGAAGCAAGAAAAGGAACTGTCATTCGAACATGTAAAGACTAAAAAAATAGAAAAGCCTAGATTGTAAATAGTTGAAGAAATAACATTAATGTATAAAAATAAAATAAAATAAAATAAAATGCGTATATATACAATATATATACTGTGAAGTAGTATTATTTAATAATAGTATACAGTTGGGTGAATTGGTAAGGTGGAAAAAGAAAATATTTATATATATATATATATGTAAACATTAAAAGTAATAGTATTAAAAAAAATATCGTTCGTTTATTAATCAAGCTTAACTTTCATCTCTTCATGTGTCATTGGTACAAATTCATTTAAATTATTTATGCGTTGGTGTTGTAATCTTAAATGGCTCATAGCCCACTGGGGTACAAGTGAACCATTCAAGTTTGGCGATATGGATAATTCACGATCATCAAAATCAAACAATTCTGGCAAATCTCTTGAATCTGGTTGAGAATTGTATAATTGGTAACTAGCAGCATTGTTAAAGTTGGATGTGGTGGAATTGTTATTACTATGGTGGAATTGTTGCAGGAATATTTTTCTATAATTTGGTAATTTAGTTTCTTGCATCCTCAATTCATCAAAATAGTGATCAACCAAAGCTTCAACAGCCGATATTCTATTTATTGGAGAATAAACCAATATCTTGGCCAAAAATTCAATGGTTTCAGAGGATGCTTTTTTAAAGATCTTGGATAAATTTATTGGTTTGATTGAAGGAAATTTATGTTCCATATAGTTTGGATTCATATGCTCAATTTGTTCTCTACTTGGAGTACCCAAGATTTTAATAATCTCCACCAATTGATCAATACCAGATTCACCAGGGAATAATGGTTGTCCCAAGATCATTTCCGCAACCACACAACCAGCACTCCAAACATCAATCTTGGTTGTATAATTGGTGGCACCAAAGATCAATTCTGGAGCTCTATAGTATCTGGAACAAATATAAGAAACATTTGGTTCTGTTGGTACCAAGATTTTAGCAGATCCAAAATCTGCCAATTTTAATTCACCAGTAGCAGGATTCACCAATAAATTTTGGGGTTTGATATCTCTATGACAAATACCCATGGAATGAATATAAGCTAAACTTCTAAACATTTGATAAGTGAACAATTTAACCTCCAATGGAGGCATGGCTAATCTTTTTGAAGTGTAGAACTGACCAGTCTTGTATAATGTTTCCGGCATAAATTCTAAAATCAACAGCAAATAGACATCATCTTTATGAGAGGTGGACAAGAAATAATAAAACAATTGGATGACGTTTCGATGTTGCAACTTCTTCATTATACTCAATTCTCTATTTTTGAATCTACGATCTTGAAGAACCCTTTTGATGGCAGCAATTTGGTTTGTAGGTTGAAGTTGTATTTTGTAGACAACACCAAAGGACCCATGACCAACAACATCTGATTTGATAAAGTTCATTTGGGTTGTTTCCCCAGAAGGAGTTTGAACAGTAACCTGTTCTAATTCTGACATAATGGATTTGTTAGTAATGATGGATTCAAAAATGAATGGATTTGAGGGTACAGGAATGTGTCTGAATGGGAATGAAACAGGCCAATAGTAATAATAATAATAAAGAAAACAAAGAATGTTAAAGTAAACTAAAAACAAAAAAGAAAGACTGATTGATATATACAAAAATTTTTTTTTGTTTCTTTGTTTCAATTGAATTGATGGTAAAAAAGAAAAAAAGCACAGTAAATAAAAGAAAAATTAATGAGTGAGTAAGTGTCGATGTGTGTGTGTAATGTATGTGAGAGTGAGAGTGAGTGAGTGTGTGAAGTGAAGTGAATTGCGTGAGTGATTGAATGAGCGAAATTGGATTGGAGTGTGTGGGGACAGAAATTGGTTTTTGTTTTTAATTACTTCACTTCACTTGGCTTCTTGTTGTTTGTTGTTTTTTCTGTCGTCGAACTTTCAATTTGTATTGTAAAATTTCGTGACCTCATTTTTTTTTGTCTCTCTCTCTCTCACTCTCTCACTGTCTCTGTTCCCTTCCCTTTTTATTTTTATGTGTATGTTGAATGGGTAGAATTTATTTATTTTTTTTTTTGTTGCTTCAAAGTGTGATTCCAATGTGGTAGCAATTTTAATCCAAAAATGGGACAAAAGAAAAAAAAATGAGATCGACACACCACTACCACCGCTCACCCATCATCATCCCCAACACCAGACACGGCTTCAAAAACGTATTCATGCAATACTAATTAAAAAAAAAAATCTTTAATTATATCCAAATAGACACATTCCTTAATATCCCAAATACAAGTTAGTAAATTTCTAAATTAAATACATACCAAATTGTTCACTTCCTCTTCTATGAAACTTGAACTTGTTTCTCAAGTTGGTTAGATAACTTTTTGATTGATCAAATGAATTACCCCTCTTCATTTTACTACTATTATTGTTGCTAATAGTGTCATCGTAAAACCCATTATTGTTATTGTTGTTATTAATAGATACCGAATGATTAAGTGTGTTTGTCAAGGTAGTAGATTGAAACGATTTAATCATCTTATCGGTAGCTAATGGATCCACAGCATCATCAGCCTCTTCAATCTCTTCAACTTCTGTCTTGTCAGAATCATTGTCATACGAAAATGCACGATTCATACCATTACTTGTGATATTGTTATTGATCTCATAACTATTGGAAAACTTCATATAATGACCACGGTATTCATGTTGAATGCAATTATTGTTGTTACTGTTAATTGTCGAATTGTTGGTGGAATTCATGGTGTTGTTCACACTAAGTGGTAATGGCTGATAACTGTTATTTCTCTGTCTAAATTGCGTCTCTTGTTTATATGGATCAGCAACAATATTTCCATTGCTTCTTCTTCTTTGATCCCTGAGTTCTTTCTTCTCCTCTTTAATCTGATCTCTCAATTCTTTTCTTTCTTCACGAATCTGATCTCGTGCCTCTTTTCTTTCGTCTCTTTGTTGTTGTTTCAACTGCTTCAATTGTTTTCTTTGGTTCTTTCTCACCTCCTTCTTGAATTGCTTGGTCTTTACCTGTTTGTATATTGGCTTATCTTCGATCAAACTCTTCAATTCAGGGGTAGATATTCCTGGATTGTGCACATAATTTGGATAATATTTGACAACTCCAAACTCTTCTTCAATCACGTTATAATCGACATTTCGAATAAACTGGTCGTTAATATCTTCGTGATGGGAATGAATAGGATTAAACTTGGAAGAAAACATAATAAAATCAAGCCTCTAATTTAAGATATTGATAAATATAAAACGTGGAGAATATAAGATAATAACAGTAATAACAATAATAACAAAATAAAATGAGAACCCCGATGATAAAAGTTAACTAATGCAAATAAATACCAATCTATATGTTGATGTTTAAAGTAGATTATTATAGTAGAAAGAAAAAAATTTTCTTTTAAGAATGTATATATTAAAGTTGTTGTTGTAGTGTGTATCTTTTTTTTTTTTGGTTTGATTCTTCGTTTGGTTTAAATATTTCAATTTAAATGTCTTTACACAAAAACGCTAATTATATTGTTTTTCCCTTTTGTTATTGTTAAAGTTGTAGCAAATCCTATACTTTACACAAACCAAACGTATCCTAAATCTTTTTTTTTTCTTTTTTGCTCTTTAATTAAAATGTAATCTTCCTCCATCTGATCATAATCATCAAGAAATGAGTTGTTCATTTCCATTACAAGCCAGCTATGTTTCATAGAAGTCTAATATCATCACACCACATTCCTACAGAATTTTCCTGTCCCTCGTCCCCCCAATTTACAAAAACGTTTGCAATTATCTTTTTCTTTTTTCCAGTTGGCGTTTTCCTAAAAAAGCAAACAGGAAAAAAAAGAAAGCAAAAATACCCCACATGTTTCCATGCAGGACCTTTCAAATTGATTGTAAAAGGATTCCTGTTTTGTGTATGAAACGACATTTTTTCACAACAATTAATGTCGTTCATTAGATTTTGGTGTCCGTGTGGGGTTCTATCTGTATAGATATAGCAACCCCTGCATTGGTTCATTAAATACAACAGGGAGACATTTTTACCAACTAACAAATCTAAATGATACACACACACACACACACAAGTATACTTAAACTTACAAAGCATGCACATACATATATACACACATGTTTCAAGTTTATACAAAACAATGATTAATCCAACCCTGTCTTGAATTATGAAAATCATCAAAAGTAAATGTATAGAATCATGTATCAATTGGAGATAGATCAAATGGATAACAAAAAAATAATTATTATCCCCACCCCCACAGTTGATTTACCAATGTTTCCTACTTTCCCCTTCTAATGTTCATTCCTGATCTTTCCATTCATCCTCCGCCACGCATAGAACTCTTTACAAAAATATTTACTTATCCACTAGCGTGTACGTGTTTTATGAAATTATCTTCTTGTTTGTTGTTAGGAACACTTAACCGTTACTTCCTGATGGTGGTAGTATTTTTTTTATATATATAAGTAATCATACATGATAAATCCTTTGGATATCTACTCCACTTCAAAATTACAATCAACCATTGTATTAACTAAATTGCTGTACAACTGATGACTATTTCTTCCATCTCAACCAATAGTGATGATGGGATACAACATCAAAAGAAGAAAAAAAAAAGAAAACTTTAATGACTACTCAGACCCCCTCCAAGGTATCACCACTTAATTAGATAATTAAAAGAAACTCCATGATATCTAACTGTCGATTAAACTATTTCTACAGAAGTCATTGTCGTCGGATTTTCTGAATATATTCTTGACAGTAGATCTTGATTTGCTTATTTTCTTTTTATTCATTGAAGAATATCCGGTATTCCAAAAAGATAAAAAAGAAACCAAACTTAATTAATCGGTATTAAAATTTTTCGCACGTGAAAACCTACTCGTGATTACTCTGTCTTTTGCAACAAATCCTCTTTCTATTGAAACTATGTTAAAGCTGTATATATAATTCATTTGCAGTGATTCTTTTTTTAGTATCATATTCTATCATTCTATTAAATAACTCCTTAATCTGTTCATCTTGACATCGTGGCAATAATTCATTCAATGGTTTTCTTTTATAATTTGGCAATTCCAACATTTTACTCTCCAAGTCTTCAGAACCAAAATTAACAATGATTCTATTTAACAAAGCCAAATCACCAATATCAGTACTTCCGCCATCTTCTTCATCTTCCTTATCTTCCAATACACTTTTAAAATCTGTCGAATATAAAATAGTTAAAATTATACCAAGACTCCAAATATCAACACTAAAATCATATCCATTATCTAAGATAACTTCTGGTGCTTTATAAATTCCACTTGATATATCATTATGTTTTTCGATTTTTTCATCTAATGGTGGATTATTTATATCATAACATATTCCAAAATCACCTAAAATTGGATTAGTTATATCTTGATTTATAAACATAATATTACTTGGTTTTATATCACGATGAATTATTCCATTATCATGTAAAAATCTTAAAGCTTGAGACATACATTTTAACCATACTTTAATATCTTGATCTTGAATCTTATTAATTAATTTATAACTTACATTCCCATCATTTTGAAATCTACTCATACGTTTACAATATTTTGGAATTTTAATAAGATTATTCATATTATATTCATATAATTTAGTAACTAATATGATATCATCAAATATTTTTAAATCATTTAAATATTCAATTATATGTTCTTTGGATGATTGGGATTGGAATTTTTTAAGTATTGAAATTTCTCGAATAATAGAATGTGGTGGTGGTTGAAAGTCTTCATCCATTATTTTAAGACAAACTAAAGATTTAGTGGTCTTATCAATTGCTTTATAAATTTCTGATATTGAACTTGTATAGATTAATTGTTTATCTATATAGTAATCTGTTAATTTCATGGTTTGATTTGGTTGTATTGTATATGTTGTCAATAGTTTACAATAATGAGATTGGTTTTTTTCACTTTTTTTTTGTATGTTTGCTTGTTTGTTTGTTTGTGCGCTGCTGTTCTGTTTGATATCTTGGATGGTAATTCTTGCAGCACAATTAAATGCCACTATTCTAAGATAGGATATTACGATATTACTACATCATAATTTAAAACTACATTCATTGTATACGCCCTCACAATGAACTATTCATTCGTATCTCTACATAATAATAATAATAAACAGTACTAATGATATCATCCACGCTTCTTTCTGATACCTCCCGATAAATCATCCATTCCACTACGTTTATACCCTTGTAATTGTTGTGATTGTATCTGCTGTTGCAATTGTTGTACCTGTTGTATTTGAATAGGTCCTCCACTTTGCAGTTGTTGTCCTTGTTGCTGCTGTCCTTGTTGCTGTTGTTGTTGTTGTTGTTGATGATGATTATTGGCATTTCCTCCACCACAACCGCCAGTTACTATATCATTATCATCAGTGTAAATTTTTCTATTTGGGAACTTATAAGTTAGCCCTTCGAACGCATTCTCTGTAACTTTTGGTAATTCTAAGAAATATGGATGTAATAATGCTTGGTCTGCCGTAAGTCTTTGTTCTGGATCATATTTCAAAAGTCCTGCTAATAAATCCAAACAATTGGCCGTACTATTATTATTTCCTGTGGAACTACCATTATTGGTATTATTATTTCCACTATTAATCATTTTAAACCAATTGGATAAGTTATTCATATAATTCTGATTGAAATTCTGTGTGAATGATAAATATTCTGGGTATTTGTTTAAACTTGGCCAGATATCAGTAGTAGGTGTACCTAATATTTCAATAATTTTCTGAAGTTGATTCTTTTGGAATGGAACGGATTTCTTATTATTCAAGTCAATCTTACATTCTTCACCTTTAAACATTGGTCTTAAACTTAAAATCTCACCAAGGATACAACCAATTGCCCATAGATCTAATGCTGGGGTGTAGTGCCGTGTGCCCAATAATAGCTCAGGAGCTCTATACCATATAGTAACCACAACTTTATCACCAGTATATAAACTTTGTAAGGGATCTTTAAATTTTCTTGCCAATCCCAAATCACCAATCTTAACCACACCTTGAGATGTAACCATGATATTTGCTGGTTTCAAATCACGATGAAAAATCCAATTTTTATGAAGAAAAGTGACCCCATTTAAAATTTGCCAAATTAATGATTTAACAGTTGAATTAGGAATAGGCTTAAATTCTGGATGTGATTGATAATGAATAATTTGTAATAAATCATGTTCACAAAATTCAAAAATCATATAAATTGATTTATTCTCCAAGATAATATCTACTAATTTAGTGATGTTTTTATTATTCAACTCTCGACAAAGTGACATTTCTCTAATTGCAGATTGTGAAATACCCGTATAATGTAAAACTTCATCCTGATGAATACTATTTTGATTATTTTGATTTTGATTTTTATTCAAATTATTCACTGTGTTATTATTACTGTTATTACCTCCGGCTCTTCCATTATTATTCCCATGATGATGATGATTATCACTTTTGAATTTTTTAATTGCATAAAATTGCGGAAGTGCTCCATTGTTGTTGTTGTGGTTGTGGTTGTTATTACTATTATTATTATTATTATTAAAATTACTGTTACCATTTCCTAGGTTTATTTGTGGACTAACTATTGATTCATCCAACATATCATTTCCATTATCTTCTGTGATATTATTACTTATATTCCCATTAGGTTTATCATTTTTCAATTTTGCTTTATAAACTTTCCCATAAGTTCCCGCTGCAATATATCCCATAATTTGATAAGTAGACAACACAGATTCTCTAGTTAGATCTTTTCTATGTTTAAAAGGTCCTAAAGTAAGTATTGAATTCAGTGCCATTAATGCCGGTTGCGGAATACTATTTGTTCTTGAGGTATTAGATGATGTAGGCATTGGTCCACCACCTACTCCACCCATAATTCCTGAAGTTCCCGATGTTCCTCTTGATAATTGATGGTGAGGCATAGTTGATCGCATGGGTAGTTGACCTTGATTTTGTTGAAGTTGTTGATGATGATGATGATGCTGTTGCATTATATGTTGGAAATTTTGCTGTGATTGTTGATGTTGCTGTTGTGGATGATATTGTTGAATAGGAACGTTATTTAGGTTTCTATATTGTCCTCCTGGTCCTCCTGATGATGTTGAGTAATTCATTCCACCGATTTAAATTTTTATACTCCAATAATCTAAAAAAACACCTTTAGCTCTGGCCAACAAAAGAAAAAACAAAAATACTAAAAAAAAAAGATCAAATTGTTATGAAAAGAGAGACAGAAAAAAAAAAAAAAAAACAAAAGAAAAAAGTATGTGTTTACTGAAACTTGCCATGATAGTTTTGACTCTACTCTCTGGTGTAGTACAAAAATGAATGCAAAATAATAATTAATAATCTATAATAAAAAAAATCATTGAAAAAAGAAACTAATAATTACAAACCAATTCATAATGACTACTTATTCTAAAACCTTAACCCCACTAAATCATTCAATGATTGTGATGTGGTTTCTGACATATTTGTTGTAACTAAACTTTCCGCATCATCGTTATTCTTTTCTTGTCCTTTACATTCATCTACTGGATCTACTGATTCACTGAAAAACTTATAATCAGGATTCAAGTCCACTAAATTGTCTTGGTTCTGTTTATAATACTCATCTTTGATGGTATTAGTTATTTCCAACTGTTCTTTTGTTATCAAGTCTTTCATTTCCTGAATCGTTCTGGAATCATCCCATTCCGAATCAGTAAATACAAACTTGTTGATGTAGTAGAAAGTACCAGATATATGATGGTCGATTACAATCAATCCTTCTTCAACACATTTATCTAACTCTTCAATTGTTATATTATAGGACCAATTGAACTGGTTTGATATTTCGGATATGGTCTTCCCGTAATTCACCGCATTGTATAATGCGTCCTCCATATCGGATTCTTCAATCATCTCTTGCCTTAATTTCATAAGCTTATACTCATACTCTTGATTCTTAAGATAGTCAACAATGTATTCACCGTATGTGTTGGTGTTTCGTCGTGGCGAGACAACAAAAATATCTGATTTAACATATTTCTTCACAATAATTGGTAAATTTAAAGCATTAAATAAATCAATTGCTTTTTGAAAATCAGAACTTGTTATAAGCTCGCTGCCGAATCCTTGGTTTTTAATGAGAAATCGATTATACTCCGCAAATAAATCTTGCGATGAAACCATGGATGTCTTTTGCGTCAACCTATAGTTAATGGCAAATTCACTTATATGTCGACTCAATTCCTGATGATATAATGAGGAGGTCTTTTTGATATTTAACGCAGGAATGACTGGTTTGGTGATACTTGCTGGTTGTTGTTTAACCAACTTGTTGAATGAGGTAGACAATTTAATTAAATCTTGATATTTAAACATCAACTGTTCCAAATCATCTAACGAAGACGACAAAATAATTTCATTCTGTTTTCTTTGTAACTCTTCAAGCTGTTCTAAAGCATGAATACCAGCGCCTCCTGTCTTTTTAGGTAGTTCAGGCTTGGGATCCGGAGTGGCCAATTTAATTGCATTTTTATTAATTCCACCTCTTTCTTCCAACTCCTTCCATTTTATATCATCCAATATTTTACCAACCTCCTCGTAGAACTTACCCTCGCCACCTTTTCTAAAACTTATCTTAATATATGGTTGGTTATTCGTATACGTTTCTTCACCACTTTCTAATTTTAAATTCAATGGATTAGAGTTAATTGAGACATTACTCAAACTTCCTGTGATATTCTTCACTGTGAATCCTCGGCTTGAATTAGGCTGTTTAAGTTCAGTACCACACATTTCACAAAAATTCAATGCTGGATGGTTTATAAAAGTACATTTGGGGCATTGATCACTAGAAGTGGTCATTGGTTGAGGCTCGGGAGTCATTGATTCTGGTGTTAGTTCTATTTCTTTCGGTTTATTTCCGTCTTTTAGGATGCTTGTAAGAAATGCTTTTGAAGGTCGAATACCGCAGGACGTACATTTCGGTAGTTCCTCTTCGTCAATCTTGAAATTAGAAAGGATGTGATTGTTAAATGAACATATCTTACAAGCCCAATCAAGTGTAGTAACTACATTGGACAAATTGTTTTCTTCTGTTTCACCATCACCTGCTGTTGTTGTTGTTGTGCCCGTCTTGATGTAAAGTGTCACCTTTGGCGATCTTCTGAAATATCCAACCACGAGATTTGCTTTCTTAAACAATGACAATTCAACGGCAATACAATTCTTAACATTATCATTATCAAAATAAATCAACCTTTTATTGGTTAAATAAATCCTCCCATTTTGGTGATTTAGTATTTTTGATCTACCTTGATATAAACCAACGTTGTCTTTGATGTAGATATTATATTCGTTATCTTGCAAAATTGGCCGGCTACTCCTGTTAATTAGCACTGTCTGCCATATATTCAACCAAGTGGAGGTCATGGCTGATTAGTGGGAAGTAATTTTTAGAATTATGTTGAGTTCGTCTGGAGGCAATTCACTAGCAGTTGATTTCCTGTTGCCAACTTCAAATACTTTCGTCTGCTTCCAAAAGTAAAATCAGCCAAACGAAAAAAAAAAAATAGAAGAAAACAAAATTAATAAAAATTGAGCCAAAGAGAGACAAAGAAGAATTGTTGCATTTTCTTTTGATCAAATTCATTTCTTTTTCAACACCAATTTCAAGTAGAACATATCAAGTTCTAAACCAATCCTTTATCATATATAAGAAGGGCAACCAGTTTAAAATTGCCCTGGTTTCATTTACATTCTCTACAAGAGGCAGATCATTATTTTTTTTTAATTCATATTTGTCAGCATTTTCCTAGTTTGTTTTCGTTTTGATTTTTTTTTTTTTCTATTTTCATCGTCATTTGTGATCCATCATATCAACACATTTCCCATTTTACTTTATTAGTCGAATATGTCATTTTTATTTAAAAGAAATCCTAAAACTCTGTCAGAGTTGGTTCGAGCTTTAAACGATCAGGTTCTGAAATTAGACTATTGTTCACCTCAGGATAGTAATTACAAAAAGTATCAAGATGAATGTGCACGATATTTGAAAAATATGAAAGTAATATTACACGGAGATGATGAAGTGGATCCACAGCCTGATCAAATCACTCAACTTGCACAAGAAGTTTACGCTTCCGATTGTTTGTATTACTTGATTTCGAATTTGAGAAAATTAGATTTTGATTCTCGAAAAGATGTGGTCATTTTATTCCTGACGTTGTTGCGACGAACAACTGCTAATAAATCACCCACTGTTGATTATCTAATTAACACGAAACCAGAAATATTAGTATTATTGATTAAAGGTCCTGAGATTCCTGAGATTGGGTTAATAACTGGACAAATATTACGAGATTGTATTAAGTTTGAGATAATCAATCGATATGTTATTTATCATCCGTTGTTTTGGAATTTTTTCAAATATGTACAAATCCCGACTTTTGAAATTGCTACTGACGCAATGATGACCTTGCATGAGCTATTAACGATCCACAAGAAATTGGTGTCTGAGTTCTTGGGTAATAACTATGATTTGTTTATTCTGTCAATTAACAAATTGATCACCTCCAAAAACTACGTGACAAAGAGACAAAGTGTTAAGTTATTAAATGAATTAGTGTCGCAAAGATCAAATCAACAGTTTTTGTCAAAATTTTTTGATGATGCCAATAATTTGAAGTTGACTATGTTGTTATTGAGTGATAAACTGAAAAATCTACAACTTGAAGGCTTCAATACCTTGAAATTTTTTGTTGCTAATCCTAAAAGATCTCAAAAAGTAACTGATATTTTGATTAAAAATAAAGAGAATTTCATTGAGTTCTTTAAAACATTTGATATTTCTAGTTTCCATGATAATCATCTCGTTGATGAACGAGATTATACATTAGAAGCAATTAAAAACTTACCTGATAGAGCAAGTCATTAGCATGTATGTCTATAATGTTATTATCAACTACAACAACGATAAAATGAGTTTGCATATTATTATACTCACCCAGCATTAGTATATTGAGTTCTTTTTTTTTTCCTTATACATTTATATATAGTCTATAAAAAAACAGAATTGAAGAAATAAAACTTACTCATCTATATCCTCTATTGTGCAACTCTAGACCAGTTTTTGTATTCTTGTTCACCGTATTGGATTTGTCTAATCCATTCAGCAACAGTGGCAGTCAAATCACCAGAGGTACCTAATGAAACTGGAACATCGATATCTCTACCTCTGAAACCAATATGTTTAATAGGAGAAACAACGGCAGCAGTACCAGCACCGAAAGCTTCAATTAATTGACCTTTTTTAGCTTTTTCTTCAACTTCATGAATGGTAAATTTTCTTTCACTGATGGTCCATTCGTCTTTTGGTAATCTTTCCCTACATAATTCTAGAACAGAGTCTCTGGTAACACCTGGTAAGATCATACCATCCAATGGAGCAGTGACCAATTCTTTAGTACCATCATCATTGGCAAAAGCAAAGAAAACATTCATTGTACCAACTTCAGTAATGTAACCTTCTTCACCAAACAACCACAAGTTTTGTTGGAAACCTTTTTGGGCAGCTTCCATTTGTGGTTTGATACAAGGAGCATAATTAGCTCCTAATTTCTTATCACCAACACCACCTGGCCATGCTCTGACAGCATAGTCAGTAGCTTCTAAACTAACTGGTTTGAAACCACTTGAATAATAAGGACCAACTGGAGAAGCAATAACATATAACAAAGCTCTATCTGGAGTACCGACACCCAATGAAGCGGAAGTACCAATTAAAGTTGGTCTAAGGTATAATGAATATCCTTTACCTTCTGGAACAAAACCTTGATCTAATACTAATAATTTATCAATTAATTTTTGCAATTCTTCACCATCAAAAGTTGGCAAAGCAATTCTTTCAGCAGAACTGTTCATACGAATCATGTTTTTATCACCACGGAATGTACGAATCAAACCTTTACTGTCCTTGTATGCTTTCATACCTTCGAATAATTCAAACGCATAATGGAAAACAATCGTACTAGGATCTAAAGATAAGTTATGATATGGAGAAATCTTTGGAGTATCCCAACCTTTTTCCTTGGTCCATTCAATTTCTAACATGTGATCTGTAAATGTCTTACCAAATACCAATTGTTCTTTAGGAAGCTTGGTTTTAGGAGTAGTGGTTTTTTCAATAATTAATCTAGAAGCATCCAATGGTGCAGCCTTGGATGAGTTGTATCTTATCCATTGTGTAGAACGTATAGAACGTCTAATAAAAGTCTTGCTAAACATAGTTATCAACACAGGTAAAGGTTCTAATAATGAAAAAAAAAAAGAAGATAGGAATTCTGTTGATTTTTTTTTGAATAGATGAGTCAAGTGATGGAAGACGAGTACAGATCGCTAGCTTTCCATACTAAAAGCGAACGGAAAAAAGAACGAAAAAAAAAAATTGTATATCCAAGGAACGGCATCTGTCAGTCTCGCCCGGTATCGCTTCTGGGTTCCCGTTATCGAATTCAATATTGGTCTCCTTGATTTTGCTTTTTCAAATCACAAAAGACAGAAACAAAAGACTTTAAAAAAAAAGATATGATAAAATAATTTATACAAAGGAAACCAACACTTTTTCATTTCCTTCTAATAATCTAAAATTTCTCAATTACATGTATAATAATGTAGAGAAAGTGCAACAAAAAAAAATTATGTAAGATTCGGTTTGCAGCTATTTCTTGAAAAAGTATATACCGAAAATTGCAATCATATGAAATACTGGTCACGTTATCAAATGTGACACCCATGTAATTATCCATAAAATGTGAATTAATATTAACAAATACTTCTTATGACTGGGGGTTCATAAGAAAGTTGATGGTAATTAGTTGAGATCAACGAGCACGCGTGTGAAGCACGTGACTTATTATAGTCGTGTACATATGTCAATGAAACAATTTTTTCTTCTGTTCTTATTTTTTTTTTGTTGTTGTTGTTGTTAGAAGAGAGAAAAAATGTGTTGAGCCAGAGTGAGAGGTCTTGATTCTAAGAGAAGGGGAGAACGAAATTTACAACTCCAATTTTTGAAACAAAGTAATCAACAAAAACAATTGCTGTCTAGATTTATTACAGCGACCAGTTGAAATCATTTAAAAAGATATAATCAAACAGAATTCAAGAGTCTTTGGAATTTCCTTGATTGTATTTATATATTGTTTTGATAGTTACAAGTTTGGTTTTAAACAAGTTTTTCTTTTTTTTTTCCACAAATCATTTCGACTTTTTTTTCAATTTAAAGAAGTTTTACTATAAAACACAAGGTTTGCAATATGTCTGAAGTATGTTTGATTCTATATTGGGCAGTTTGTTTATGTTTGCCGTTTGATTGGATTTAATTTACTAACTAATATTATTGTTTTGTAGGTGAAAAGAACTATTAGAATAACGACTGAACAACACATTCTAACTGATGAACCACCGGTAGAAAACTTCCCAATGAGAAAGTGGTCTGTTCAGATTTCCATGTTAGATGCTCAAGGTAATGAAGTTCCAGCCAAAATTTTAGATAAAGTCACATATACATTACATCCAACATTCCCCAACCCAATAAGAGTGATAAAACAACAACCATTTAGAATTGAAGAAAAAGGTTGGGGTGAATTTGATATTCCTATTGCAATTCATATCTTGGGTATTCAAGGTAAGACTGGAGAACGTAAATTCCAACATGATTTGAATTTCTTGCAAGAAAAGTATCACAATGACCATGTCATTAGTATTCCTGTTTCACCAACGAGAAATGGACCATTAAACAAACTATTAGCCGAAACTGGTAGCTTGCCATTTGACGAACAAGGTGCGACTACTGCTGCTGCATCCACCCCTGCTGCTAGTGGTGGTTCCACCGGTATGAAAAGAAAGTTAGATTCCACTAATGGGGGTGCTGCAGTAGGTGCCAATGCTTTGGATAATAAGGCTAAAAAATCAAAAGGTGCTATGAAAGGTAACATTGATTTGGAAAAATTATCGCAAGGTTTGACTAAATTAAGTGAAGATGATTTGATTGTTGTTGTCCAAATGGTCACTGATAACAGAACAAATGAAATGAATATTAAAAATGATGTAGATAATGGAGAATTTACTATGGATTTGTATACTTTACCAGATTCATTATTGAAGAGTTTATGGGATTATGTAAAGAAACATACTGGTGAAGCTTGATTATGGATCCAGTTCAGGTTTTTTTTACTATATTTTTGTTCCATTCAATTATGTAATTCTTTCGGTCTTTTAGTATTAAGTATAAAAATGTTTATAATCCATTTCAAAGAGAAGATATTAAACTAATAAATATAAACACCTTGTAATATTTAGCATTCTTTAAATTGCTTCTGTGGTTGAAGATTTTGGTTTTAACTATTCTTTGTGTATATTCTCTCGTCGCACTGTTAACACCTATGTAAAGTTACCATTCTACATCATTGACTGTTCTTCATACAGACCAAACTTTGATTGTGGAATCCCAGGAACCAGTGGCAATTCCAATACCATCAGGGCTGACTGCCACTTTATTGATTTTGTTCACGTGTTCATTTCCAAGAGTACCAATAATTTCATTCTTCAAAGTATCCCAGACAACACATCCATTTTCTGAATAACAAGCATAAAGGAATCTACCGCTCTTACCAAAATCCAAAGAGAATACACCTTGATTCTCAATAACTGAATGTGAACTGAGTATACTATATTGGTCACCATTCATATTTGAAGCTGCATTGTTAATTAAATTATTACTGTTGAAAAATGACCCCGAGCGTGCGTACCCATTATGGTGCTTACTTTTCTTGTTGTTCCCTGCGTTAGATGATGCTGTAAGTGAATTCAAAAGATGTAAATCTGGATTGCTTCTAACTTGATGAGCTAGAGAGTAATGACTCAACTCGCAATCAGATCGCAAATCAAACAATCTAATCAGACCGGCATCGCATCCAGCAGCGATTGCATTACTATCAGGGAAAACTTTAACTGACGTGACATCAGTGTTTGTTACCCCAAAAGATTGTGTTGGCTTTTGAGATCTCAAATCCCAAATTTTTACAACACCATCAGAACCTCCAGATATGAACAAGTTATCGGAGAGAATGTTTTTTGGGAAAATATCCAAACATAATACATCACCTGTATGCTCGATAAACTCTCTACTTTTAGCCCCTTTGTTCAAATCCCACAAAACACATGTCATATCACCACTAGCTGTGACTATAGAATTATTCCCTAGGAATTCACATTCAGAAATATAAGCAGTGTGACCTTTCAACACAGATTGGACAGATTGGTAAAAACTTCCTTGCATTTGATAACTGTTGCTGTTGATTAAAGCTCGTTCTTCCAGAACCGGAAAGTTTGTCGTATCTGGTTTAATCTTATAAATGGTACAATTGTTATCTAAACCACCAGAAGCAACCAACTTTTCATTTTCTGAGTAGCTGCATGTTAACACATATGGATTTTCCAATTGAATAGCGTGTTTCTTGTATCCGGTAATCGCATCCCAAATAATCATATAACCATCAAAACTTGCAGATAATATTCTACTAGAATCAGCACTCCAGCATAATTTGGAAATTTTATTTTGATGGCCCATCAAGGTATTGTATAAGGTTAATTTGCAAGTATTTATAGGAATATGGGTAACATTTTTAGAAACCATTTGTATAGTTGTGTCTTGGGTTCTTTTCTTGATGTTGAAAATTTCCTCGTAGAGTGCTTTTGTTTTTACTCTTTCTTTAGTTATTTGTTGAGTTAATGAGTCTGTTTGGTTTGTTGTTTGTGCATCGTCGACGAATGGAGATCTTCCATAGTCCATTTGTTCTGACATTAACGGCTGTGATTCGTATTTTTTTGACATATTTAATTCATGTACTGTTTCGTAAACTTGCATGTAAATCAATGGTAATGCTATTGAGCAAAAAAAAAAAGAAAGACGGCTATAAATGAACCAAGATATGGTGAGAATATGTTGATGATAGTATCTCAAATAGTGTAATCCAAAAAAAAAGGCAAACCGGGAAGAAGGGACAAGAGGAGGAAGGGAAAGGCAAATAAAGGAGTATTATTCCGGTTTTCGAAATCTTACTAAGACGAATAAATGAATAAATAAATAACAAGTGGGCCAAGTAAATTTTTATATGAATACAATGGATTGCCTTCTTATTTTTTAAATCATTTAGGTATTTATGGTAGAATTAACTTTTTCTTTCAAATAAAAAAAAAAAGATCAAAACCCAGCTCACTGCAATGGTACACTTTCATTTTTTTTTATACAGTACATATATTTGTACTTATTTTTTTTGAATTTATTTAATGTGGAATTAGAGAATAACCATATTTGGCACGTTTTTCTTAATTATTATTGTTAATTGAGGTTTCATAGAAAATAAAAAACAAGTGGCTTCTTGGAATTACGGAAGCCCCAAGTAGTGATATATAACATTCATTTCGCTATCAGTTTGCAGCTTTCTTACATAAAGAATATATGATCATTCAAACCAACGGGTATTCATCCGCTGTTGTACTCACAACCAACCAAAAATAATGTGGTGTCATTGAAATGCATACACATACATACATACATACACCCCCGTTGAAGTATAAGGTGTTATGTGACTATAAATGAAATTAGATATCTTCTGGTTGGAAATCTTACTTTATGGTTTGTATATTAGAATGTTCAAATGCAAATCCACAACTTTTCGTGTAATACAGGTGACTGTAATATGTGTTATTTTACGCGCAATTTGCAGCAAGTAAAAGGACACTGTTGCTAATGCTTTTTATTCATGACATCTTAACACTCTAGGTAAAGACATACTTACTCGTGGTTCCATTAATATTATATATAACTTGAAAACCTGCTATTTCTAAATTTCTTTTCTAAAAAAAAAAATAATGGTTATATCACAAACTTTTCAAAAATGACAATTTAAGTTAACTTGCATGAATTTTTCTTGTTAAAAAATAACTCTAATTTCTAAAAATTACAAGAAACAAAAAACCACATTAAGAAATTCAATGTCGCATTTATTTTCTTTTTTTTTTTTGCACATTGGCTGGTATGATTGTCGTGTATATTATTGTCTATCACTAATATCAAAGGATATAGGCTAGTAATTATAATAGTCGAACACAACCTAGAATGAAAGGTATTGCAGCTGAACTAGGTAAATACTGGAATAACAAAAATTCACCAACTTCCAAACTGTTCGTGCTGTGGATAAGTCCTCCACGACCTTCACGACAATCATATTTAACAAAAACAATAAATGACCACATAATAGTAGTTACACTTCTCTTATCCCCTATTTTTCTTGTCTTTTTTTTTGTAGAGTTTCTAGTTAGCATGTTTAAACTTTTCATCCAAACAAGGGTTTAGAATAGCTGTAAATCTACTTGTTCTCAAGGTGAAAGATTTCCAAAAAAAAAGAGTTTACACTATCTGCTATGTCTTTGTTTTACCGCGTGTTTTAAAGTCATAAACATCAATTACATGAATGACATATGAAATGAAGTTAATCTCCAGTAATCTGAAAGAAAATTGTCAATGCAACAAGTAAAAAACTACGAGTGTTTATATAAAACTCTACTAGTACAAAAGAAAATATAATAATACACACACAGAAAACAAAGACCATCTTAGTTATCGTTAGAATCTATACTTTCTGTGGCCTTTTCTGACACGCTCTCATTCTCCTTCTCAACCTCTTTGTCTTTCTCATTTTCATTCTCAGTGTTATTCATACTACCCTTATCTGTCTCAATCTCGGCTTCTTTCTCTTTGCCACCATCTTTGTCTGCTTCAGGTTCTTTATCCTTTTCTGTTTCGGTTTCTTTTTCTGCATCTTTTTCTGTATTCTTTTCTGTTTCTTTATTAGTCTCTTTTTCTGTCTCTTTATCGGTCTCTTTATTGGTCTCTTTATTGGTCTCTTTTTCTGTCTCTTTATCGTTATTCACCTTCTCTACTTCTTTCTCGCCGTTACTGGCCCCTTCTGTATTTTGACCATTCTCATTTTCTTTCTCTTTATCATTCTCCTTCTCTTTGGATTTATCAGATTCCTTGTCAGCCTCATTTTCTTTGGATTTTGCTTTTTGCTTCTGTACATTTGGCACTGGAGCAGCAGATGTTTTTGTATTTCTCCTAGATTTCTTGTTCTTATTATCATCAACACCACCAGTCACACCTTGCAAATAACTAGGAACTTCCAACCCACTTCTAAGAAAGAATTTCTTCCAGTTTCTTGCTTTATCCTTCAACTGAACTTGAGTTCTACCCTTCAATGCTTCGGATATCTTACCACCTTGACCAAACAACTCTAAGATCGTAGCCCAATGAGGTCCCTTTAATTCTAAAGCATGTCTCAAAGCTTTTTCTTCTTCTCTTGTCCATGGTCTTCTCAGTGATGGTCTTGGTCCGATTGGAATTAACGATTCTCTCATTTCTGAAACCAACATTTTTTCAGTATCAACTTCATTTGGACCAATTCCTGATGATGTAGGACGTGTTGCTGTGGAACCAGAACCGGCTCCAGATGATGATGGTGTTGAATCACTTGTACTAGACACCGTTCTGGCAAGCAAGTCTTGGGTATGAGGGGTGTTTTCTCTTCTATCTCTGACTGATTTACCCATTCTACCCCAAATCAAGTAACCCATATTTCTGCTAACATATTCAAACAAATCTCTTAAAAATGTGAACCATTCATATTCTTCACTTAAATGAGTATCAGAATTATAATTCAATAACAATTCCTTTCTTTGTCTGCATCTCACAATAAAGTCGGTTTCAGTTGGTGTCAATATTCTCACATCTCTTCTTGACATCAAGTATTCATTAATATTATCAGGTAAAATATCTTCCAATATTTCTTCTTTGGACCTTTCCCCGGCGTCAATAGCAGAAATGTAAGCTTGAGTTTTCAAATCCAAAAATAATGATGCCTGAGTTTTCAATAATTTACCAATTTTTGCACCAATTGGATTTTCAGTGCTTTGGAAACCATTCTGGAAACTTCCTAAACTAGATAAGGCATTTGCAGGATCTAAATTATTCAGCGGACAAAAGACATCTAAAAACGATTCATTAAGGTAGAAGAAACCAATTTCCATAGTACCCAAAGTTGCAGCTAAGAAAGTAGCCAAATTCACTTTACGTAATGTTGATTCAATACTTTGTTGTTTTGATTTGAAAATGTGTGGTGTCTCGTCTCCTTCTTTCCACATTCCAGGAGCTAAATGCTCAACCGTCAAAAAAGGATCCTCTTCGCTATATAATCTTTTTGTAAATTCAAACAAAGATGTCAAATCCCTATAAGTTGCCCCTTCAGGTGTATCTGGATTCGACGCCAAGTCTATGATTTTCTGATATGGGTTACTAGCAACTGTACGCAATAATTGTGTAGCAAGGTTGTCTAACGTTGGTAATGTGTTTATCAACAATTGAATTCTTGGAGGTAAATAAACCGGAGCAATTATTGATAACGGCAATGCACCAAGTGTTGCTGATGATAACATAGCTGTGGCCTGAGAATGTTGCTCCAATTGTGTTGAAAGTGTGGTGTATGCAGCGTATGCAGTGTTTGTATTAAGCAACTCGGAATTGGATGGGATACCAGAAGCAACGTCTGATTCCACTTCCTGTTCTTCATCTTCGTTGTTATTAATCTCTCCGTTTGATTTGTTCTGTTCGTGTTGAATTTCTGGTTGTTGTGTTTGTTCTGGAACAGGTGCTGCTTCTATTTCCGCTTCTGTTTCAGCTGCCCTTTTCTCTTTGTTTGAGTCGGTGGCCACCTCTAGTTCAGTTGCAATCATTTCAAGGTCTTCTTTCTCGTTGATTTCTGTTGCTAGTGAAGGCTCGTTTACTTCTGCTGGTTTCTCTGAAGATTCAGTCACGGCTTCTGATTGGCCTTCCTTTTCTTGTGATTCAATTTGAGCTTCCTTTTCTTGAGGTTGTTCTTGTAAATCAATATCCTTATTTGAACTTTCAGCGTCTTCTACTTCCATTGGTTGAATCTGATTCTCTTCTTGTTCAGACGGTACAACAGCGTCATTTGCTATTTCTTCTGCCTTGTCTGGCTGGGTTTGGCTTGATGGTTCCTCTTGCTGGTTCCCTGGCGTGGTCTCAACCTGTTCTGAAACATCATTTGTTTCTTCCAGCTTTTCAGGTTCTGTTCCTGCACTCTTATTAATTTCTTCTGATTCGGTTTGGGTCTCTTTGGCTGGCTCTTCTGGTAGACTTAATACCGGAAGTTGTATTTCCTCTTCGTCTACTTTTTGTCTTTTTTCGCCTTGATCTTCTTGATCATTTTCAACTTCAGCATGAGTTCTTTTATTACTATTATCATTTTCAGTATTATCAGCAATATCTTCCTTAGTTGGTTGAATAGATTGTTCAAATAATTCATCAATTTCATTTTGTAAAGCAGATTCAGCTCTCTTTTGTTCTTCATTTTGTTCTTGCTGTTGTTCTTGTTGTTGTTCTTGTTGTTGTTCTTGCTGTTGTTCCTGCGGTTGTTCCTGCGGTTGTTCTTGTTGTTGTTCTTGGTGGTGCAATTCTGGATCCACCAACACGTTATCTGAAGATTCCTGCTGTAAACTTGGATCAATTAAATCATGTTCAGCACCATTGTTTTCGAGTTGTTTATCATGATTTTCTTCGGTGTTATGAAGTTGTGCAGAAAGTTCAGGATCTATTAAATCTTTATCATGGGTTGTGGTATTTTCAGTTTCTTGATGTTGATCAAAATCAATGCTAGCTATTGCTTCATCTATCTCTTCTCGTAATTTGTACGACATTATGGTTGTAAGCTTTATAACATGTAAACTTTGGATTCACCTATGAACTGTGTAGCATAAAAACTCATCAAGATGAGATTATTGTTGTTTATGTTTTGTGCTGGGCCACAAATTTTTTTCTTCCAGAGATTAATATGCAGGATAAAAACTTTCCAACATATTTTAAGTGAAAACAGAATTGGCTACAAACGGTTATCCATGGGTTAAATAAAGGAACCAATATGTATTTAAATGACACTGTTTGTTGTGAATATTAGGCTGTTCTCTGTAACAAGAAAAAATTGTTAGTACTAAATTTTAATATAATTTCATCAAAAATCTACAGTAAACTGCAACTTCACTTTGATAAAGATGCTTTGAAATATTTGTCAAGTTTAGAAGACAACTTTCTGACAGATTTAATAGAGCTAAGGGATTTTAAACAATAGATATCATCATTTGTTGTCCGAAATTACTCCGCAGCATATAAGAAATTACGATTACTCGTTTGGACGATAAGCGAAACATAAATCAAGTGTCAGTAAATACACCGCTAGCAGATTAGTGTCATCCAATTGAAACAAGCGGGTAACAAATCTTTGACTCGTATTAATTCAATAGAAAACAAAGTGCCTAACTGTCTTGGTCGTTCTTAGCAAAATACCCAATCCTAAAAACGGCAATTTATCCAGAACTCTACCGCTAAGACTCGCTATTACCAAATCGAGTAACTTCCCGCTAATTTTTTTTTTCATTTCTTTTTGTTTCCTCTCGCCTTGACTCTACATTTTTGATTGACTTCCGATAGATTACTCTACAGCAAAAGCGAAAATAATCATTTCCCCCTGTCTATAAATTGCTTCAGATTTTTCCCATGGAGATCTTTTTCCTGTTTCTGATTTTTTTTTATCTATTCTTTTTCTTTTCATTCTTGTTTAATCAACTCAATTAGTCAATTTCATCAATTTAAAGAAAATGTCTAGCAAGTCTGTTGCATCCTTATATTTCCCAAACGAACCAAAAGAACCAACCGTGGTTGCTTCTCACGCCAAAAGTGACGCAGAAAAGGCACAAATCGGTAAAGTATTCGATAACCGTGGTATCTACTTTGTTGCTGATTATGAAAAGTCTCAAGGTAACTACATTGCTGATGTTGATGGTAACGTCTACTTGGATGTCTATGCCCAAATTGCTTCTATCCCATTAGGTTACAACAACCCAGCATTGATTGAAACCGCCAAATCCGACAAGATGATCAGAGCCATTGTTGACAGACCAGCTACTGGTAACTTTCCAGGTGCTGATATCAATGAAATCATTGGTGAAATCCTTAAGGTTGCTCCAAAGGGCCAAGACAAAGTTTGGTCTGGTTTATCTGGTGCCGATGCTAATGAATTGGCTTTCAAAGCTGCTTTCTTCTGGTACCAAGCTAAAAAGAGAGGTTACAACACTCAATTCTCTCAAGAAGAATTGGATTCTGTTATGAAGAATGAAGCTCCAGGTTCTCCAGATTTGGCTATCTTGTCTTTTGAAAGAGGTTTCCACGGTAGATTATTTGCTTCTGGTTCTACTACTTGTTCCAAACCAATCCATAAATTAGATATGCCATCTTTCAAGTGGCCAAAGGCTGAATTCCCATCTTACAAATACCCATTAGATAAATATACCGAAGAAAACAAGAAAGAAGACGAAAGATGTTTGAAGATTGTTGATGATATCATTGCCAACAACAAGATTCCAGTTGCTGCTGTTTTGATTGAACCAATCCAATCCGAAGGTGGTGACAACCATGCTTCTGCTGAATTCTTCCAAGGTTTAAGAGACATTACTTTGAAACACGGTTCCTTGTTGATCGTAGACGAAGTTCAAACTGGTGTTGGTGCCACTGGTATTATGTGGGCTCATGAAAGATTCAACTTGCAACCACCTCCAGATTTAGTTACATTCTCCAAGAAATTCCAATCTGCTGGTTACTTCTTCCACGATCCAGAAATTATTCCAAACTTTGCTTACAGACAATTCAACACCTGGTGTGGTGATCCAGCTAGAATGATCTTGGCTGGTGCCATTGGTCAAGAAGTTGTCAAGCACGACTTGGTTAAAAGAACTGCTGAAGTCGGTGACTACTTGTACTCTAAATTGGAAAAATTGGCCGAAAAATACCCATCTTACATTAGAGACTTGAGAGGTAAAAACAGAGGTACCTTCATTGCTTGGTCTTTGGAAAATTCCGAAGCTAGAAACAAGTTCTTGAGTGACATGAAGACTGTCGGTGTCAACATTGGTGGTTGTGCTGATGACTCTGTCAGATTGAGACCAACTTTGATCTTTGAAGAAAAGCATGCTGATATCTTGGTTGCCGCTATTGACAAATTGTTATCTACTTACTAGAGGATATAATGTGTATGTAACGAGGTGTAATGATGAATAAATACAACTAATTTATAGAAATATGATAATTTTGTTAGTGTTAAACTACTCTTAACCAATAAGTTTGTAATGCCCTATGTGTTTTACCCCGGAGTTTTGCACCATTCCCGATCTGGACCCGCTGGTGCGGTGTCGGGGTAAAATTGTTCTTCTCACAGGTAAAAACCCAAATCTATCGGTTTATCGACCGAGAGTCCACACCTCTTAGTAAGATTAAAAAAAAAAAAAAAAATTTTTTTCTCCCACCATAGGGCGGTTCCAAAAATTAAATCTTAAACTAAACTCCATCCACAACACCTAGATACGACTTCTTTTTATATATATATATAGAACTTCAGCTGGATACCTCTCAAACCACTAACTATTCATTTCTTTATTTATTTGGCCACTCTAAGTCACTGCTACTATACCTACTAGCTAATCATGGAAGATTTTAAAATTAAACAACAATCAATGACAAAAGCAGAACCTACACATATTCTACACGACATCAAACTATTCATCAAAAATGATTCAAATGCTTCATTCATTGCTGGAGGTGTTGCAGGAGCAATTTCCCGAACCGTTGTTTCACCGTTTGAAAGAGCCAAGATTTTACTTCAATTACAAGGTCCAGGATCACAACAAGCATATCAAGGAATGTTCCCCACAATTTTCAAAATGTATAGAGAAGAAGGTTGGCGAGGGTTATTTAGAGGTAATTTGTTAAATTGTGTAAGGATATTTCCTTATAGTGCTGTACAATTTGCAACTTTTGAAAAATGTAAAGATATAATGTTACAATATAACCCAAGAAACAGTAATCAATTAAATGGATACGAAAGATTAATAGCTGGTTCTATTGGTGGGATCGTTTCAGTGGCAGTAACTTATCCTTTAGATTTGGTACGTGCTAGAATCACCGTGCAAACAGCATCTTTAAACAAGTTAAACAAAGGGAAATTAACTCATTCACCAAAAGTGATGGAAACTTTAAAAGACGTTTATAAAAATGAAGGTGGTATTCTAGCATTATACAGAGGAATAATTCCAACTACGTTGGGTGTTGCTCCTTATGTTGCTATTAATTTTGCCCTTTATGAAAAATTAAGAGAATATATGGATAATTCAAAGAAAGATTTCTCCAATCCAGTATGGAAATTATCTGCCGGTGCATTTAGCAGTTTTGTTGGTGGTGTATTAATTTACCCATTGGATGTATTAAGAAAGAGATACCAAGTAGCAAGTATGGCAGGAGGTGAATTAGGATTTCAATATAGATCTGTGGCACATGCATTGCATTCAATTTTTACAACTGAAGGGTTTTTTGGTGCTTATAAAGGATTAACAGCAAACTTATACAAGATTGTCCCATCAATGGCTGTGAGCTGGTTGGTTTACGATACCATGAAGGACTGGATAAATAAATGGTAATAGAGATGTATTAAAATAGAACATTACCTTTTAGATTTAGATTTAGATTATAATGTACAAATACTAATAATTAGAAGTCACGTGGGACTGCATATAACAAACCATTTTTTCTAACTAGCCAACCAAAATTCATTGGTTTTTGTTTGCGAAATGACATGATGAAAAAAAAAAAAAATAGAACCATTTCTCTAGCAGTAGTGTTTACACCTTTTCCTTATCATTATTACAAACTATTCAAGAAATGATTCCAACTAGAGTTTTATTAAACGGTATTAAAAACACCAAGCCAAAGCTTACTTACCCAGTCGAATTGACTCCATTGTTTGCTGCTGTCGGTGTTGCTATCTGTTCTGGTGCTTTCTTCACCTACAGACACTTTGCTTACGATAAAGAATTGAGAGTATGGAAAAACCCAAACTTGTCTAAATTGGATGATGTTTTGGACAAAGCTGCTGAAGAAGGTAAACATTAAATGAAGAAAACCATTGCTTTGTGGTATGAGTATTCTGTTTGATTTTTATTTTTTGTTTTTTACTATCCCACTACTTTCCTTCCAATATATTCTGCATAATTGTTCAATCAAAACTAAGTTACGTATGTTTTACTTTATTTACTTGATGTCGACGTTAAGAAATAAATAATTATATATATTCATTGATGATTTGTATTTACAAGTTTCTTGTTATTCTCTCTTTTTGTAATATTTTGCAGAATGATTTTAATTGACGGAAGACATGATACGTTCTTCATGTTCACCTTCAATATTTGTATAATAATCAGTAACATCAGCAAGTTGATCTAAATTATCAATGGCTCTTAAATATCCTTTAGACAGTTCTTCAGGGTATGCAACTTGAGAATCAGTATTTGCAATATATCTCACGGCTGATTCGTGTAATTTATATCCTTTAGAAGTCAAATCATTGGCAACTTGATTAATATCATTTGCTTCACATAATAATCTATAAAATTTATGTTTCTTATCAGGAATAAATTCATCATCAAATTCAACTTCTTCAACATCTTCAGCACCAATATCCAAAGCAACTTCAAATACATCATCAAATGTTTCTTTGTCATCTTTTGGAAGGAAAATGATCTCACCTTTTTTATCAAACATAAATGCACATGAACTTAATGAAGCTTGGAAATAAGCCATGGCATTTTTAACCAAAGATACAGTTCTTGCTTTATTATCAGTAAGGGCATTAACCATAACTGCAACTCCACCAGGTCCCATGAATTCATATTGAACTTCTTGTTGTTGTGATGCATCTGTCAATTCTCCACTACCTCTTTTAATAGCCCTTTCAATAAGAGATTTTTGAACATTTAATGACTTGGCTTTTTCTAGTAATTGTTCTAATCTAGAATTACCTTCTTTACCACCAGTACGTACACAACTTTCTATACGAATGGAGATCAAAGTGGCTTCTTTGGATTTCTTGGAATCATTCTTTGCCTTGTCATGTCTAATATTGGCCCATTTTGAATGTCCGGCGAATCTTAATGGTGTGTATGAAAAACCTAAATTAGTGTTACGTATTCTAGAAGGATTTCTAGCAAATAATGTCTTAATCATTATGTATGTTTTGTTGAATATGTAGATGTTGTGAAAAATATAGAATGAAAAATTGGAGAGTAAGAAAAAAAAATTGTAGTAGAACTGTAATTAAATTTTCCACACACACACACGCACACACATAATTTCAACATAACGAGCAAAAATAGAGAGAAAAAAAATTGAACAGAAGTGAGCACCAACTTCAAGCGATAAATTAATTTTCTCTTTTTTTTCTTTTATCTTTGACTGTTGTTCAATTTCAAACTCAAAGCAATCACTACCAAACAAACCCTTTCAGAATGAGTGAATCTATGAATAAACGTAAATTAATAGCAGCAATTGCTGATGAAGATACAGTAACAGGTCTACTCCTAGCAGGAATTGGTCAAATTTCCAATGAACCAGGTAAAGAATCCAATTTTTTGACAGTTATTCCAGGTAAAACAACTGTTGAACAAATTGAAGAAGCATTCACTGATTTCACTTCAACTAGAGACGATATTGCTATTTTATTAATTAATCAACATTTAGCTGATTTAATTAGATATAAAGTTGATAATTATACCAATGCATTTCCTGCAATTTTAGAAATTCCTTCTAAAGACCATCCATACGATCCAGAAAAGGATTCTATTTTGAAGAAAGTCAGAAGATTATTTGGTGAGTAAGTTTAGAACAGTACAGATATATCACGTTATGCTTTTTTTTTTTTGCTTTATTGAATTGACAAAATCCTGGTAGATTGATTCACGATTGTTGATTTTCGTTTTTCTTTTTTCGTTTTATGAAATTGTACTCAGTTGATACTCATAGACATTTACGATCGATTTTTTTTTATTTTATTTCTATATTCCTTCAAAACAAAAGAAAAATACACATTAATTAAATAAAGATAAGTGTCTAGAATGACTATTTCTTATTCTTATTCTTCTTCTTTTTATTCTTTTTCTTTTTCCCAGCAGTTGGAGTTGGAGTAGCTTCAGTTGATGCAGCCTCATCTTCACCCTCGTCTTCATCGTTATCGTTATCGTCACCTTCATCCTCATCCTCTCCGTTTTTTTGCTCTTCTTCAGTTTCTTTGTCGACCCCATTTTCAGTTGTAGGGACAGTTTCAGGTTCACTTGAAACAGCTAAATCTCCTTCTTTATCTTCTTGTTCGACTGGTTTAGATTCTTCAGAAACAGGGGTTTCATCCTCAAGTGGAACTGAATCAAAAGCATCATCAATTGCCTGTTTTGTTTCTTCAACGTCAACTGGTTGGGCATCCTCTTTATTATTTGTCTCTTCTTTAGCTGGTTCTTCTTCTTCTTCTTCAGCAGCAGGAGCAGGAGCAGCAGTATCAGCAGTGGTTTCATTTTTATCTTCTTCAACTTCTGTTGTAGCAGATGCTTCTTCCTTAGCTTCTAATTTTATTGGTGTTGGTGACTCTGTTAAATCTACTTCAGGGTCTTCAACATGTTTTTCTGTTTCTTCTGGAATATTTACTGGTTCTTCCTTTGGTTCTTCCTTTGGTTCTTCCTTGGCTGGTTCTTCCTTGGCTGGTTCTTCCTTTGGTTCTTCCTTGGCTGGTTCTTCCTTGGCTGGTTCTTCCTTTGGTTCTTCCTTTGGTTCTTCCTTGGCTGGTTCTTCCTTTGGTTCTTCCTTTGGTTCTTCCTTTGGTTCTTCCTTTGGTTCTTCCTTGGCTGGTTCTTCCTTGGTTGGTTCTTCCTTGGCTGGTTCTTCCTCCTGAACAGGTTCTACAATTACTGGAACTTCAGCTGATTGTTCTGGAACTTTGCTGTCTTTTTCAGGAACTGATGGCTGTTCATCTTTTGGTTCATTCAGGGATTCATTTGTTGCAGGAGTAGCAACATTAGTATTTGCATTACTCTTTTGCCAATAATTCTTTGCAAACAAATCAGGTAAAACACATTCTTTAACATAGAAATCTCTAACTCCAACAATTCTTCTTTCTCTTTCACAAGCTTTCAACCATTCTGGTCTAATAATTGGAATATTCATATCATTAGCTTTAACATACTCAGGATTTTGTTTGTTTTCTCTAGTACAAAGGAAATGAGTAGTATCTACTTTAACTTGAGTTTGAGCAGGGAATTTAGCACCCATGTTCTGTAAAGTATCTTCAATATCTTGTTTATCAAATTGATCATTAGGAGTAAGGTCACCAAGACATACAGTGATTCCTGACAAATCAGTCATTTTATGAGTAGTAACTTCAATTTCATTTGACAAAAAAACACCAGCAGTGGTATCTAAACGCAATTGAACTTTAAATGATTTATCAATTGGTAAACCAGATAACTTGGAAGTTCTATTAGTCAATGGTTGTGGAATAGATCCTAGTTTTTTTCCATCTTTGAATAAAATCAAATTTTTCAAATTCGAGGTTCCTAAATTCAATTTATCCCATTCTAAAACACATGAAGTTTGAGTAACATTCTTAATTTTCAAATTTGGAGGCTCAGGTAAGTTAGTTGCAAAAGTATTTAAAATTTCTTCTTGAATTGCATTAAATTTGGCTGCTTCTTCCTTTTCACTTTCAAAATCTTGATCACATTTAATCTTGATTATTGAACCTGCTCTAACACCATTTGGTAACAAAATTGTTGGGAACTCAATCAAATGATGATCTTTGGTTAACAATAATGCTAAAGATGCATCTAATTTACCAACTGTTAATGACACTTCAACCATTATATGAAATTATTCTTGATGTTGTAATTGGTGTTGTCAAGTTCTCGCCTTTTTTCTATCATATTTTTTTTTGGTTGTTGTCGTTTTGATTTTGTTCAACCATAGATTTGTTCGTAGCTCGTTTTTCGTTTTTTTGTTTTTTCAGTGTCACTGCTCATTTTACAGTTGCTTATATTTTTTTTTGTTTCTCTTGTCTTCACGGCCGCAGTTCTTCGAGTCAATTCATGACGATACAAGAATGCTTCAACTATGAGGATGTATCCATTGATTATTCAATTAATAGTATAATACAAATGTATATTTCTTTTGTTAAAACTAATATTCAAACCACAAATAAATATTTAGAAGTATATATAGTATTGCTTGTAATAGGCAAACAATACCTTTTGATAAGATGACAATGAAATCATCAAAATCAAGTAGATATTCCCATGGCACGCAAATCTTCATTGATTTCTTCATCACTGGCTCTGTTCAATAGCAATTCATTGGCAACATCACTTGGTATGTCATCATCCAATCCCGCGTTTATTGCACTTGGAAACCCGTGGAATTCAACTAAACCATTCAATATACCCAATTGTTCGTTTATACTGTTACGTTGTTGGACCAACTGGACCAATGTGTTTTGCTTAAGCAATTTCTTTGGAATTGGTGGTTCAGATGCACCTTCAATGTATCCATTCGGTAGCATGTCTTCCAACAGGATAGTAACATTCGGTATAGCCGGGATAGCAGAATAGTTGAAATCGGGTACTAATTGATCCAACTGGTTTCTTTCTTTGTTGATTTTATACCATAGCGACGTGGTGTCAGTGATCATCAGATTCTTGGTATCGATCAAGTTTCTCATGAAATTTTGATGTATAGAAGTTCTTGTGGCAATAGTTTCTTTATCGACACATTTCAATTTATATGACAAGTTTGCATTGGCCAATCGGAGGCCGTCTTGATAGAATCCATTAATCTTACCATAAATTTTTGACAATTCAGGGTGTGAGCCTTCAAGACATAATTGCAATTCACGTTCTAGTAGAGCCAATTTATCCTTAAATAATTTATCTCGAAGTTCAGCAAAATTAGATTCTATTGCAATCAACTCTTCTATAGCTTGCATCCTTTGCTCATTAATATAAACTTCATCTTCCTCTTCATCCTCTTCTTCGGCTTCGACTTCGACTTCGACTTCGGCTTCAGCTTCAGCTTCGGCACCAAAATCTTCACCTACTACTGACACGTTGTTGTTTTTCAATTTGTCTGAATCTGGTGTTACTTGTTGCAAACTTTCTTCATTCTCATTTTCATTGAGTTCACCTTCATCCTCTGGTTCTGCTTCTGCACCATTATCATCATCTTCTTCTTCTTCTGCAGTTCCTTTGAGTTTGACTTCCAATTCTTTGTCACCTTCATCATCGTCTAATTCTATTAGTTTTACTGGTTTCTCATCGGGATTTTTGCTATCCTCGGTTTTCAATTGTTTCAATTTCTTTCGGTCGGTGTCATCATCTTTCTCTAATGGGCGTTTTCGCAATTCGCCATTTGTTTCGGGTTTCTCTTTATCACCATCCAAAATAAGTTCACGACGATCAGTATCATCGTCGTCATCTTCGTCATCTCCAAAATCAGAGTCCATTTCTTTTAGTCTAGCTAATTCTGTCAATTGTGATAATGTTTGCAAATCAGTCAATCCATTGCTAAGTCCTTCATTATCATTCACGGTATCTATTTCATCTAAGAAATCCATTTTATCGGTTTCTGCCTCAGACTGGTTTTCATCCAAATCACTCAATTCAGAACTTTCATAACTATCTTTGTTCTTTATATCTTCACTGATATTATTGTGATCTAGATCATCCTTGTTTTTCAAATTTTCTCCATCTTGTTGGGACTGATTCTGTTCTTCTTCTGGATGTTTGGTTTCTTCCTTTTCATTTTTTAAATCAGATTCAGGTTTTGATTCCAGATTATTTTCCAATTCTTGCAATACCTCTTCGACTGCTCGCTCCAGTCGCTCTATCGAATCTCGTTTTTCTGATTCTTGTTTGGCTTCTTTTTCTTGCTCATCTAATAATTTTTCAATGTTGTAAATCGTGCTCTGAATCTCACCATCCACTTCACGTAAGGACAAATCAAAAGGAACAGGGGATGTTGTTATGTCACTTAGTGGTGAATCTTTACCCATGGTTATATTTTCTGCCTGATTGGATGTCTGGTCTGATTCACCATCTCCATTCAACACGTTATTCTTGTCCGCCGGAGGGGAGAGGGGGATATTATCCATCAACTCTGGATTCTTGATGTCTGTTTCAGCTTGAGTCATGGGCATTCAAAATTCTTTGGTTCTTCTTGAAATTCTCTCGGATGATATATTTTTAAAGTAACTTTGTATCCGAGATAGAAAGGTGGGACGAAACAGAAAGAATGTCAATAATAAGGAAAACTACTCTAATTCAAATTGATATTATCTCAAGTTTACAACTTGCACTCTCTCTCTTTCTTTCTTCAAATGGAATGTTGTTGCTGAAGGTTGTTTTCTTTCTCCGGTCGTCTGATTGAATAAGATAGAAAGAATCGGGAGAAAACTTATCGGGGTAAAAAGAAAAAAATCACTTAAACTCTAATTATTGAATGGAACAGATGAATGAAACAATAGTTGGTTCTCTTGAAGTAATTGTATAAAGGTATCGATAAATAATGAAATAAACCCAAAAAAAAAGGAAATATAAAAATTTTTTCTTAAAAAAAAAAAGAATCAGAGTAAAAAAGAAATTGTATGGGAAATTGAACTTTTGAACTTTTGAATTTTTTTTTTCTGTATTGTTGATTGATTGATGATTTTTTTTCTTCTTCTTCTTACTGTGCTTGTTGTTGTTGTGGTTGTGGATGAAGAGGAGGTTTTTTTTTCCTTCTTTGTATTTAATTCTCTCTCTTAACTGTGTGCCGCGAGTGCGTCGGTGTGTGCGTGCATGAGTGGTTGTGTTTATTGTACCAGCAAAAGAGGGAAATTTGTATGAATGTAACACAAAAAGTCTACATACGGGCGAAAGATAAAAATACAAAATAAAGTCTACAGGTGGTTGGGATGCTATAGCAAGCCAACAAACTAGAACCGAGCGAAGATATTCACCACCTATTAACTAGTTTGTTATCATCTGTAATCCTGTACCATCCATCAAATAAGGGAAGAAAATGAAGAATGCTTCCAACGTCTTATCATTGGCTCCCATCGTTTCAAAAGAAACGAAAGGGCGTGGGGACAGTCATTGTATTCTTCTCTGGTCAATAACCGCGGCAAAAAGATGTCCAAAAAAATCAAAATCTGACGAATTTCAATAGATATACATGTGGTCCTTGACCATACTAATACTCCAATGTATAAAACTTGACAAGTTTCTTGAGAAGAAATGTTAAGAATTGTTTGTTAAATGAAATGGATAAATATCTCTTCAATTAGAAGAACAAAAAAAAAAGAAAAAAGTGAGAGTGAGGGAAAGGGAAATTTTAATATTTGATTTCATTTTTTTTTTTTGGTTTATTTTTTTTTTTTGTTTCGCTTCACACTACATCTCATCTCTTGCAACTTTTCTTTACATATAGAGATCAATACCTGACACCATTCTAAAAACAAACCATGTCTAGTTTTGCTAATTTATTCAGCAAGTCTACTAAAGTAGACAGTGCTATTGACAAATTGTTTAACAACTCCGCCGATGGTCCAGTTTCCAAGGAAGAATTAATCAATAAGAAAAGAACCGTTATAAATATCCCAGAAACCAAACCAACTAAGACTAAGAATGCTAAACAAACTGAAGAAGAAGAAGAAGAAGTAGAAGTAGAAGAAGATCATACTAGTAAGTCAGAAGACAGTGAAGAGTCAGAAGAAAAAGATGACGACGAAGAAGTCGGTGAAGAAGAAGACGAAGAAGAAGACGTCCCAGTTAAGAAATCTAAAAAGAAAGATGATAACGAAGACTTGGAATCAAAATATTTTGACAAACTCATGACTGAAAACAAACAACAAGATGAAAAGGAAGGCGAAGAAGAAAGTAAAGATTCGGGGGATGAAAAAACTGAAGATGAAAAATCAAAAAGAGCCAAAGCCGCAAAAACTATCGATTTTAAAGAAGCAGAATTGGAAAAAGCTGATAGAACTGTATTTGTTGGTAACGTTCCATCAGAGATCATAAATTCAAAAGCCATTGAAAGAAGTTTTAAAAAATTATTCAAACATTATGGTAAGATTGAATCTATCAGATATAGATCAATTTCATTTGATGAAAATTTACCAAGAAAAGTTGCTTTTGCTAAAAAAAATTTGCATAAATCAAGAGATTCAGTTAATGCTTATATCGTTTATAAAGAAAAACCTGCTTCTTTAGCAGCTAAGGAATTAAATGCCACTGTTTTTGAAGATCATCATCTTCGAGTCGATCACGTGGCTCATCCTGCTCCTAAAGACAACAAGAAAACTATTTTTGTTGGTAATTTGGATTTTGAAGAAAAAGAAGAATCTTTATGGAAATATTTCAATAGCAAACTTGATAATGATGTCGAATCGGTAAGAATTATCCGTGATTCTAAAACTAATTTGGGTAAAGGTTTTGCATTGGTCCAATTTAAAGATACTTTGTCAGTCAACAAAGCTTTATTATTAAATGATAAACCTTTAGAAGTCGAAGGTAACACCAAAAAAGGACGTAAATTACGTATTTCAAGAGCAAAATCTACTGCTAAACCATCATTAATGTCTCCAAACCATTTTGAAAACCAAAAAAAGAAATTTGCTGCCAATAAATCACAACAAAAATTCACCGATTCTCAAAAAACTAAATTAGGTAGAGCTCAAACAGTATTGGGTAAAGCTGATAGATCAACAGTTGGTAAAGCAAAGAAAACTATCTTGGAAGGTCAAAGAGCTGCAAAAGGTGAAAATATTAAAGGTATCAAAGGCTTGAAAGCAAGCAAAGGCAAAGGCAAAGGCAAGGGAAAAGTTAAGAAACCAAGAATAAGAGAAAGATCAACCAAATTTAAAGAAGAAAGAAAATCCATGAACAAAGTTTAATAGAATTATTTTAGCATATAAGTTGTAATTTATAAATCTAGTTCTAAATCCAATCCGAGAATTCCCTGTAACATATCCTTATTGTAGGTATGATTTAGTTGATTCTCTTCCTTATATTCAGATTGATGGTACATTTTTGTATCGGCTAAACTCTCTTTGACTGGGACAGTAACCTCCTCCTGATGGTTGTATAATGAATCATTTTCTTGATTAGCATCTCCCAAGCAAGTTGTATAATCAAATATACTTTTATCAAGAATAGCAGCCACTTCTGAATTTACTTCTTCTTGTCTCGATTCTCCTCGATGATCACCAACATTTTCAATACTAAACACTTTACTTGTAGTCTTCTTATATTTCTTCTTCAGAACTTCTTGAATTATTTCTTGAATGGAGTCCATTTCTTCTGGATCAGAGTCATCAAATAGGGTTCTTTTAAATACGGCCTTTGTCTTCTTCAATCTCAATGGCTTTGTATTCAATACTTTGGGCTTCACCACCTCTCGAACCTCATTAAGAACAACTTCCACTTTGTTATCAGCATGATTTAAATCCTTGATTGTGTCTAAAACTGGACTATTATCTTTGGTTTCAGTATGTTTTCTTTTGATTGATTTAACTGGTAATCCTTCACGACAACATAAATGTCGACATTTCAGTTTATCCTTACAGGCATGATTACACTCATAATTACCGTTAGGTAGCGTTTTCCGTTGATGGGTGGTACTTTCTTGGACCTTGGATTGGGTTGCGGGAAGCTCCAAGTCGTGGTTTTTCTCACTGGCTAGATCATTCTCTAAATCAATAATATCTAGTTTCAATACATTACTTGTAGGCTTGTGATCAGCTTCAAACAATTTCTTAATATCATCATCATCATCATCATCATCATCACTGATAGCTGTTACATGTCCCACATAATCTATAGTTGACATCGTCGTGGTTGGCTCATCATCAATAATGTGTATAAACCGATTAGCTGTGTCTTGGCTTAAATGTGGATGAATGGAGACACTCGAATTGGATTTCACACTAGCAATACAATCAGCAGATGCTTGGCAGTGAATAGTCATGTTAAGATTTTTAACCTTAGCCATTACTTGATATGATTTAGGACCCGAATTCTTAAACTTGCAAACTGGTATTCTTCGAAAATCCAAAAGTTCACCATCAGAAGTATCGGTAATTATATGTATATAAACTAATCTGTTTTTCCAATTTGACGACAATTTGGCATTGGTAACATCTATTGTCACTGTAGTAGTAACCACAACTTCATCTCGATTGTCACTCAATTCTTCATCATCAAATACAAAGTCCAAACACAATTGAGGTAAAGATTGAATATTCTTTTTAATCTTACTACCACCTCCCGTCTTCAACCCAAGGTAATATTCTAATTGCGTATTTGTTAATGACCTAGCATCCTCTAAACTTAATACATTATGGTTGCAAAACTTTTTGACACTGGCGGGACCTACTCCATCTAACTGACGAAGTTCATTCGGTGAATCCTCCCAGCATCTCCCATTTATACATCTCAACAAATAATTCACACTTCTTAATGATACCGCATCCTTCTTTTCCACACATACTTCTAAAAGCGCCATCATTAATCGATATATGTGCTTGAAAACATAAAATTTGTCGCCCAAAAAACTAGAGTGCAATTTCATTGCACCATTATAAGTGGGGAACTCTAAACCTCCCAATTCAAACTGAATAATGCAGCTTACTTTGTCGCAATGGGAGAGCTCTTTCAGTTTCGAAGGGTATCTGAGAATTGGGGAATTATTAATCTCTCGGTATAATCTCTTCTCTTGTTGCTTCAACTTTAGATCGGAAAATTCTTTTGACTTTGTAATCACATCCAATATTTCACTAATAGATAAATTCAATCCTGATTGAATCATTTTTGTCATCGTTTCGAAAGACACGTAATGCATTGTCATGGAATATCCATAAGGTGATATCTTATAATTGTATAAGTCATCCATAAAGATTATCTTTTCCTGATACAATGAATCGGCTTGTTTTCGACAAAAATCGGTCAAAGTTTCCTTAAGGTCGGAACTTTTGGGAATTTGTAGCACATAATAACTCGGATTCGACATGAATCTCACATAAAGGTATGTTGTTTGCAACCAAATCAATGCATCTTCAACATTTTTAATAACACCAACAGCAATTTCAGCTGCTAGATGTTCTGCAAAATTTAAATGAAGACTACTTTCAACTTTCTCTGTGCCTTTGACTAAGCGCTCATATTTCTGTTTTAATTTAGCTGATGTCATGATCACTGCAACTCCTTCCCTTTCAAACTGGGGCCTACCAGCCCGTCCGACCATTTGCAAAATATCTGTTTCAGAATATTCCTGGAAGCAATTTTCCGCCCAGCATTTAGTTCCTTTTATAATAACCAAATAAGCAGGTAAATTAATTCCCACAGCCAAAGTTGATGTGCTGCAAAGTACTTTCAATCCTCCATTCAAAAAAGAGTTTTCAATTTGTTTTCTGTCAGCATAATGTAATCCAGCATGATGATATGCTATTCCTTTTGTGGCATATGTAGCATCATCATGGTCTTTTAATTTTAGTTGAACATCAGATGCAATACCTGTCATATTGTTGTACAAGAATTTGGCTGTTCCCTGACTACTATTTCGAGTAGGACAGAAAATTAACACTGGTTTTCCTTTAGAATGGGTATTGATGACCTCAATTAGCTTTGAATTCAAATGTATGTCAAACTGGAAATCGTTTTCACTAGTTGGTTTGTATCCGTAAACAATTTTAAACAATTTCACAGCTCGATACTCTTCACCAAAGCATAAAGTTTCAGCTGGTAATGTTGATTCATCAGCCAATTTGATCCATTTGGAAATATCTCCTGCATTAGCAACTGTAGCAGAAATAGCTAATATTCTCAACCCAATGCATATTCTTTTCATTCTTGTAACCACCACTTCTAAAGTTGACCCTCTTAGATCTTTCAAAATATGAATCTCATCCACCAATAACAATTTTATTAATCCAAATAATTTAGAATAATCTTTCCATTTTCTTGTTATCACATCCCATTTTTCAGGTGTGGAAATTATTATGGTCGATTTTCTTACATTCTCGGCTTCTTTGAAAGTGCTATCTCCAGTAAGTATACCGACAGTGACATTTAACTGAGCAAACTTTTTGTTCCAATCCTCTAATTTTTCGTTACATAATGCTTTTGTGGGTGCCAAATAAAGCACTTTGAAGTCTGGTTCTGAAGGACAATTTGACAACTCTCGTAAGATCGCCAATTCAAAAAGTACCGTTTTTCCTGATCCAGTAGGTGAGCTCACAACACAATTTGACAGCGAGTTGTAAACTGTGTGGAACGATTTTGATTGCATATCGTTGAATTCTTTGAATGGGAAAACACACCGGTGATCATATGGAAGTACTTCCGTTGATAGTTTCCCCGTTGTCAAATTACTGGTCTGAAAATTATTATTATCTTTTGACGAGTATCTGAATTGGTTTAAATTTGTCCTTGCCACCAAGGGTTGTCTTGAATGATTGGAAAACAGTGGTACGGGTTGTGCTGGTGGTGGATGTTGTAGTTGTGGACTTTGTGGTGATATAACGTTGAAAGGAGCTTTTGTATGAAAGGGTGTAGTAGTAGTAGTAGTTGCCATACATAGATCTTTATTTACTATCTCAATATGTTTCACTCCTTTGGAAGATCCTTGACTTGCGGTGGAAATGGTAGGACTGCTACTTTTCCCATCATACGTTCGTTGGCCCCTCGTAGAAGACGAAGTGCTGTTGTCAATAAGTTTTTCTTCAAAAAAAAAAGAAAGCTGATTAGTATTCAAGAAACTAATAGATACAACATCTATCTATATGGGTAAATAAATACCATCATCTGAAAGCTCTTCATGATCAAGAAATAGTTGTAAACTGTTTAGAAACGACATGTTTGTTAGCTAATACAAGGAAGAAAAGTGAATCAAGATTATACAAATTACGAGACTAACTTGATCTTTGCAACACACAGAAAAAAAAAATCAGAAAACTGACATTTAAAAAAGTGAATAACAGATATTATTCCATTCATTAGCACACGTAACCATCCATACTATCACAAGTAATAAATGTCGGAAGATAGAAGGGCCAGATTGGCCGCATTGAGAAAGAATAGATCTAATAAAGATGCAACCCAAATACCGTCACCGTCACCAACAATCAAGATAACAACCGATACATCGGGAAAGAATGAGGTCCATCAAAAAGACCTACTATCTACTAAAACTGAACTACAAAAGTCTGAAGTAGATAAAGAGGAAAAATCCTCAGAAATAGACCCACATGATTCTGAAGCTCAATTGAATCAAGAAAAAGAAATGAACGATGATATAGATATAGAATTAAATAATCAGGAAGTCAACACTAACAAGGCATCGTATACCGAAGATATGAAAAAAGACTTAAAGCATTACTTCCATAAAGCTGAAATACGGAATAATAGAGCAATAGATAAAATTATTCAAGAAAGGCTCTTGCAAGATTGAAGGGATAAGCTCTCTTTTTATGTATTGTTATGTAGCGCGAAAATGTAATATAGTTCCTAATTAGGAAGTCTACCATCTTCCAATCAAATTCTTTGCTCGCATTGGTCTGTCCGAAAACCCACCAACAAAAAAAAAGTGAGGAATCGAAATTATACAGTAAAAAAAAAAAATAAAAAAACGTCCTTTGAGTATAGCTTGTTGAAAACTTTTCATTAACTCAAAGTAATAACTATTCCCAACCATGTCTATGATTAACAGAATTGCATTGAGAAGTGTTAGACCAGCCATGGGAATGACCTTCCGTCAAGCCCCAATTGGTTTGAGATACTTGTCAACCCCAGTTGACCCAAAACAAAAAGCCAATTCCATCATTGATGCATTGCCAGGTAACAACTTGTTATCTAAAACCGGTGTTTTGGCCACTTCTGCCGCCGCTGCCATCTACGGTATCTCCAACGGTTTATTCATCATTCACGATGAAACTATCTTGCTTGTTACTTTCACCACCTTTGCAACCTTAGTTGCCAAATTCGTTGCTCCATTATACACTGAATGGGCCGATGGTGAAATTAAAAAGGTCAGTGACATCTTGAACCAATCCAGAAACAACCATATTGCAGCTGTTAACAAGAGAATTGAAGCTGTTTCTGAATTGAAGAATGTTGTTTCTACCACTGAAGACTTGTTTGCTTTATCTAAAGAAACTGCTCAATTTGAAGCTGAATCCTTTGCCTTGAAACAAAAATTAGCTGTTTCTCACGAAGCTAAATCTGTCTTGGACTCCTGGGTCAGATTCGAACAACAACAAAGACAATTGGAACAAGAACAATTGGCTAAGGAAGTTATTGACAAAGTTAACAAAGAAATTGAAAATCCAAAATTCCAAGAAAAGGTTTTGGCTGAATCTCTTAGTGAAATTGAAAGATTGTTTGCTAAAAACTAGATAGATTTTATATAACAATGTTTTAGTTATGTTCGATGACAATTTTCATCAATTGATAAAGAAAGAACACGAATATATAAAAAAAAAAAGAAAAATTCTTATTTATATATATATATATATAATTATGAAGTGGTTTTATAAATAACAACTTGATACAATATGTATATCTATTAACTATTTAAATTGATTTGTTACAGTATGAGTTGGCTTCCAAATATGTAACGAATTATCATCGGATACACTTGCAACCATCCAATCATCTGCAAATGACCAGTCAAAATCATTTACTCCCAACATATGACCCAAGTGTGAGAATATAGTTGAGTTGTTAGCAACGTTGTGTAACTTAACCAGATGATCTGTAGACGATGAACCTAGAACATTATGGTACTTAGGATGCCATTTCAATTGCGTTATTGAATCAGTATGATTTCTGATTTCACCTACTGGAGCATCAAAATTTCGAAGATCCCAAGTTTTAATTGTTCCTTGACTATCTCCAGAAGCCAATCCAGTAGCATACCCAGGATTGATCGCAATACTGTTGACGTTGTTACCTATGTTCTTGTTGTATACAATAGAATTGTCAGCTCGGATATCGTATACCTTTATACTTCCAGCATCATCGGCAGTTGCAAATAAAGAGTCATGTGTAGGAAACCATTCTATATCATTGACTCCAATGGCATTATTCTCCCAATATCTTGTTTCATGCAATGTTTGAGATTCATATTTGGATAAATCATATTCGTTGATTATCCCATTCATATCAGCACTTAATAATAGACCTTCCTTGTTTTGATTCCAATCAATTGCAAAAATATCAGCGGAGGATGGAATATACTTGTTGCACAATTTCACTTGTACTTGACTCATTTCTGTATCATCTAGCATTGTATTCCTAAAACTTTTATGTCTAGTTCTTTCGTATATGACCAAGTCCCCTAAATTGTTTGCACTAGCAATTATGTTTGGTTTTTGAGGCATATATCTGGCTCTATTGACGTCTCCGATATGGTTTATTTTCTGTAAGATTTTGGTCTTGTTAATAGAAGATGTGGATAATTCTAATTCTTCCTTATCAGGATTGTAATCTAGTTTGCTGATCTTTATGCTCTTGTTAAGATCTTTGAAACTCGTAAGTTGTAAAATGCTAACATGATCAATTGCTTGTCCTAATGTGAATGTTCCAAGAAGCACTCTTTGAGCTATTGTTTCATTTTCTTCCTTATTATTAGCATTGTTATTCCCTCCACCTTGGACATGGGTAATGTCAGGGAAAAACTGAACTGTCAATGAGGGCCAAAGCAATGTGTTTGTCATCAAATAATCATATAAAAGAGGAGTGTTCTTCTTCCAAACACGATAATTTCTTTCCGTTTGTTCATCAATAAGGGAGGCATCAGTTTCTTCTTTTGGTTCCTCTGCCTCTGTCACCTGGTTCATCTCTGTATCCTCTGACATAGTCTGTTGTTCTGGATTATCAGTACATTTCGAGTCTGAAATTTCAATATCGTTATTCTGTTCTTGAGTAGGACTCATTGGGATTGGTGATGTATAAAATGGAAGGTATTTTGTTAAGACTGAAGGTTTGTTTCAAAAATATGAAACGCGATTGATTCCAGATTTTTTTTTTCTTCTTTCCCTCTCATTTTCAAGTTCAATGAACGCGTGTGGGTTAAACAATTCTTCATGAATAAGCTAACAGATATTTGTGATTATGAAAAAAAATTATTGTTGTATACAAGTTTATATTTAAAATAGGGCCATTCATTGTATAGCATTACGTTTTAAGTAATAGAATAGTTTTCTGTGATTAAGAGACAGTATATTGCAGACCTCTTTGTTGCCCCCACCCATACGTACTCTTTTCGGCCGATTCTCGACGTGGATTGCAACGGGTTTTTTCTCCTTCTTCCAACTCTCTCATTTATTTTTTCTATTCTAAAGCAGCATTAGTTTTAATTTCTTTGACCCAACTCATCGATCAATCCACCATCAACTACAAATGACAGAAAATATAAGATTAAACTCCTCAAAGTTAGGGACACAAGAATAGTAAGTACTTTTCACTTCATTTATCCACATGATCAGAGACTAACATTATATTTAGTTGGAATAATTTTTATAAGAAAGAACAAGAAAATTTCAAGGATAATGAAGAAGACACTGGAGAATGTTGGTTTGATGATTCTGATGCTGAATCTAAAATGATTCAGTTTTTAATTGACAAATTGAACAATGATGAATTACCAAAAGAACTTTTGTCAAAGTCAAGTATTTCATTTTTGGATTTGGGTACTGGTAATGGACATTTATTATTTCAATTACTGGAAGACATTGATTATGAGTATGAAACTGGTGAAAAAACTTTTGAGTACACTGGTATAGATTATTCTCCTGACTCTGTTGAATTTTCCAAGGGAGTAGCATCTAAGAGATATCCGGATCTCGAAATCAATTTTCAACAAGTAGATCTATTGCAAAAGGAATGTCCGTTTTTAAGCAACAAATATGATATATTATTAGACAAAGGAACTCTAGATGCCATTGCATTAAATCAAGATCCAATTGAAGAATTTGACGGGAAAATAGGCATGGATGTATATGCTAGCCAAATAGAGCAAATGATGAGTCAAGGTTCTATTTTATTGATAACATCTTGTAATTTCACTAATGCTGAACTTCAAAAAATCATCACCTCAAATACTGCGTTAAAAGTATGGGATCAAATCAACTATCCAAGTTTTGAATTTGGTGGTGTCCAGGGATCTACAGTTGTTAGTATTGCATTTATTAAAAACTAGTATAAATGAAAGATAATAATATACATTTTAATTTCTACAGTGTGTGATGGCTGCGATTTGAGGTGCAACTACGTATTCTACCCTAAATATTTATACAAATAGTTTTAGATATAGTCCTGGGTTTTACTTTTGTTTTTCAACCAATCATAACGCATTTTTCACTCCTTTATTGATTGTTTCAATGATTCGATCTTTTCAACCAACTCATCACGCAAAGTTCCGGAACCAAATTTCAATAAGTTTTGTATTGGGGTACCTTCAGCGTTAATTGAATTTAAACGAAGGAATTTTTCTGGCGTTAAACTTGCTTCTAACCCTTTCAAAATCTCTGTATCAGCATTAATTTTGTAATTCAATACCACACGTAACAAACCTTGAGATCTCATTACTAGTCTGACTTGTTTTGGATCAGCCTTAGATTGGTTCAAGTGTAAAGGTCCAACACCTCTCTCTTTCCAACCTTCGCTCATTTTTGATAAATCCAATTCGAATATTTTTGCAGTACAATTGAAATGAGATATTTCGTCTTCTTCACCAGTAGTTTGTTCAACGGGTACTAAGTCGACTTGTTTGTATTCTTGTGGTTTTGGTGTGGAGTTGTTTTCAGAACCGTTGTTAGTAGGAGTAGTATCAACTTTCTTTTCTTCTTCATCTTTATCAAGGAATGATTTCTTGTTCAAAGAATCTTTGAACGCATTACCAAACCTAGAGTTGGAACCAAATGTAGATCCAAATGTGGCGCTAGTAGTGGTTGAGTTGGAAACACTAGCTGATTCTTTAATACTACTAGGGGATGTACCAAATGCGGATGGTGATTTAAATTCTGGTTTTTGTTCTGGTGACGATGACTTTGTAGATGGTCTTTCCATGGCTCCAAAAGATGTTGTTGCTCCAAACACCGGTTTAGGACTGCTTGGTACGGTAGTTGTGTCATTGAATGAATTTAACGGAGTGATTTTTCCTGGAGAAAAACTGAAAGAATTTGATCCAAAAGTTGCTTTTCTTTGTGGAAGTGGTGGAGGTTCTTTATTCAAAACTTTTCTCTCTGGCTTCTTAGTTTCTTCTTGTGTTTCTTTTTCTATTTTCTTGTCTTCTTCTTTCAATTCTTCGTCATCAATTAACAATTCATCTTCCAATTTCTTGATTCTTGCCTCCAATTTAGAAATTCGATCTTCGAAAATATTGGTAATTTCTTTAACGATGGATTCTTTCAAATCTTCTTGTGTAGTCGATTTTGTTCTCTTCAATTGAACAGATGTTACTTCTTCAGCTTCTATCTTTCTCTTTGCTGGACTTTCGTTAGACATTGTATTTAAGTAAGTGCAATCTATCTTAACATCTATTAACTGTATATGAAAACAAGATAGGAATTAAACAAAACAAAAAAAAAACTGATTCTCAACTGCCAGAAGAAAAAAAAAAAAAAAAGAAAATATGTAAAATAAAATATTAATTCTGGAGGATGTTGCGTACATTTATTGCGATTCAAACTGTAGTGCGAAACACAATAACTTGATTCAAGCGAATGCCAGAAAGAATAATACTACTTAAACTCTTATACACTAATCGTTTCTCCTGATATTCCTTATAGATCTATCGTTATTTTCAGACTTGTAAGAATATGGTTGACTATCACTTGCTGTTGAGCCATTCAACGAATATTTAGCATATTTATCTCTAATAGATGTTGGAGCAGCTCTTGCGTCACCAGCTGATGTTCTTGCACTTGTAGATGATCTCGGTTGATATTGCTGATGGTAGGGATACAGTTGATAACTATTGCTGTGATGATGTGATGCGCTCTGATATAGTGATTGGTGCGATCTAGATTGGTATTGTTGAGATGGAGGTTGTTGACCAAAACTTGGATTATTGGCAATGTAAGTTCTTCTACCACTGGCAGCAGCTGACAGTACTCTGCCTTCTTTCATGTAACCTCTGCCTCCTTGTCCACCACCCAATCTTCTTGGCTTCCAATTCTTTAAGACTCGACTTCTTTCCATATCTACCAATATTGTTCTATTTCCTAGTTTTAATCCAGAACGACACAACTCATCTACACAACTTTGAGCGTCTGTGTTTCTTTCATACACAATGAAGCCGTATCCTCTAGATTTCCCATTTTGATCCCTGATAATTCTAATTGACTCAATCATGCCATATTTAGCAAACGCTTTGGATATATCTAATTCAGTCAAATTGTAATCCAACCTGGCTATAAATACTGTGCAGAGGGGATCCTTCATAAATTCACGTTCTAATTTGGCAAAGACAGCAGGATCATTCCATTCATCCAATTGTCTTTGAAATTCCTTTTGCTTTGCCGTTTTTCTAATTTTAGCTTCCTCTTGTTTTTGTTTATGCTTGATTATTCTCAAAGACTTTTTTGATTTCGATGACAGTTTATCTTCATGATTCGGTAGTTCTGAAATAAGATATTCATTAATTACTTCTTTTATTGATGATATTGGACTTATCGACGCTGTTCTTCGTTTTTCAGGTGGATAATCTGTAGGTTCAAAATGTGGGAATGGTGGTTTTGCTTGGAACAATTTTTGTATGTTTGGTGGGTATTTTTCAGGCTCTTCGTTCTAAAAAAAAGTACATGTGTTGTTAGTATATTAGTTCTATTATTTCTTTATAGTGTATTCACTAGAATGTTATTAACTTACCATTGCAATATTGTATATTTTATGTGGTTGCAAGTTTTTTATTAGATTCGGGAGTATTTCAGTTGTATTTCTCCTTCTCTTCTAATTTTTTTTTTTTCTTTATTTACTTGTAGTTGAAGAGAAAAACTTTTCGTACCAATTTTGGGTCGAGTTTTTTTTGTCGTGCAACAACCTCCTTTCGTGATAATAATATTTTTGTAATGGGATCTACACTTGCAACAACAGAATCAATGTTTTCAATTTTAAGAGAAAAGTCAACTATTTCATTTTGATTATAAGTCTGATTAATAGTTTGGTAGAGCTTTCTAGGTACTTAGTCACATATTAATTTGAATTAAACTTAAATTACATCATCCCTCTACACCGCTAGGAAGAAAAAAAAAAAAAAGAAAAATAAGCCATTGTTTTTGAATCTTAAATACCCCCCCCCCGCCAGTCCCCCCACTTCTATCGAGAGATAAATAACACCACCTCGACGATTCATAGTTTAGCATTTTAGATAATTAATCAAATCTCCCTTTTTCTTTCATCATCAATATTATACAATAATAATGGCATTTGGAGATAAGAGTCAAGAGCCAACGGAAATATTCTTAAAGAACGAGAAACTAAGTATACACGATCTCCCAATATTCTCACGTAACAAATTATCCCAATATAACGGTACAGATAAACCACAGATATACGTTGCGATTAGGGGTTATATCTACGACGTCACTGCCAATTCCAAAAGCTACGGACCTGGTAAAGGATATCATGCATTTGTTGGTAAGGATGCTAGTAGAATGTTGGGATTGAACAAGTTAAAATTACCAGAAGGTGAGGAGTCATGGTACACCGATGATTTGGATGATAAACAACAAAAGATTATCGACGATTGGACAGTTTTCTTCAAGAGGAGATACAATATAGTTGGTCTCGTAGTTGATCACTGTTAGTCATGTATTTAAATAGCTTAACAATCTAATGTAATCTCAATTTTTTGGCACCCTTTTGTATTCGATTTAACATCTAATTACTACAATTTTATTTAAGACAGATTTGCAAATTTCCAATTCATATATTTAATAATTACTATTCAATTCTATTTATCCCCACTTTCATCAACTTTTATGATTAATTTACCTTGAGCTTGACCTGTTTCAATATAAGTGATTGCTGCTGGTAGTTCTTCAAAGTCGTAAATTTTATCAATGAAAATCCTTACCTTTCCACTAGCAATATACTGTTGAGCTCTATTTATCCAACCTTCATTCTTGTTCCCCAATAATACGTATCGGTACTGATAATTTATCAAATGTGCTTTACTTGCAATAATTCTGAAAATGGACTTTAACGTTCCCATTATCATTCCAAGAGTACCACTATCAGATTTATCACCAACAATAGTACGATAAGCACCACCTTTAACTAATATTTGTTTAATGTCTGGGAATAACATATTTCCACCCCAACAATCAAATATATAATCAAATGGTTTGTCCTTGACATTTTCCAAGACTTGGTTTAAGACATTCTCTCTGTAGTTGACTATCTTTGTAGCACCCAACTCTTCTACCAATGCTTGTGATCTAGGAGAACAACTGACAACAATTTCACTTGCTCCTTCAATTTTCAACAATTGCGTCAAATATCTTCCCACTGAAGTAGCACCACCAAGAACCAAAACTTTTTTATTTTGGATTGGTAATTTATCCATTAATAGCATAGCTGTACCCAACACCAATGGCCAGGCAGATGCCTGTTCCAAAGTTGTATTATCTGGAACTTTTGCAATTTCAGTTTTGAACTTCCATAATTCAGTGTTTATAAGTAAATATTCACTGAATGTTCCATCACTTGTTAAAACACCTGGGTGGAATCCTTGAACAAAATCACCAACATGGAACTTACTAACATTGGAACCTAAAGCAATTATTTCACCACTAAAATCTTTACCCATACCATGATTTTTGAATGAAGGGAAGAAAGCAATGTGCTTCAATTTATTATCAACAGGGTTCAATGAAGCATAACGAATCTTAACTAAAATGTCATTCTTTGGAATTTCATAGTTACCATTAACATCAGTCGAAAAATTGAATTTAGCATCAGTTATTTTTAATGGAGTACTGGCGTACTTATATGTCCATCTTTTGTAATTTAAAGTTTTCATGTCGTTTTGTAAGTATATAGCTGATATCCTTTGTTGAAGTATGTAATCCAAGACAATAATTGGAAAAATTGAACTTAATACAAACAGCGTAATTCAAGCTATGTTTATATCATTATTTTTTGGTACATACTTGTTCTTTTTGGTTTTTGTATTAATTATCAATTAAATTTCTATCTACGGCTAGCGGAAAATATATACAAAGATTGCTCTAATGAAAGTTCTTGAAGCTGTTGCAATCCAAACTGAAAACGGAAAAATAATACACTTTTTCCGAAGGATGCGGCTAATACAAAAAAAAAATTTTTTGTTTCCGTACAACTATTGACGGAAAAAGGTCTTGTTTACCAGGAAATCATTAAAAACTACTCTTTCTATGGATAAATCATTTTGAAACAAAAGTATATACTCTGTATTGGCTGTGAATACCATGCTGATTAGTAATTGCATCAATTTCTCGAATTTTATATGTGGAAACTTGATCACTAATTTGACCAGAAGCGATCAAATCATTGAAAATTGTTGGTGGTATTTGAATTGAAAATGTACCCTGGTAAACGTTGAATGAGTGAAAAAAAAAAAATTAACACGTTAAAAGATCAACAAAAAATGTCGCAGGTAAAAGACACACGACATAGTAAAATGTCCACCATAACCAGTAGGTTACACAAGTGAACACTGACGAAGATGATGTTGCCCTCGTTATACGAATTAGACCTTTCCGGAGATAATCCACTTAACCACAGTTTTATTATTCAACAAACTTTGCTGTGGCCCTTAAATCCGCTTATGAGCGAATGGTATTTGTCAGAGTCGCGGAGTTTACCTGATTGAGTAATTAGCCGTTATATCACCTTCCTACTACTGAAACATATTGGCCCTGGGTTACTTCTACGGAAAAGTGCCACAGAGAAATTACCTGATTATTTCTTATTGCCTATTTTTTTGTCCATAACACAGCAAAGTCTCTCATCATTCATCACACGTAATTATGTGTTCCTTCTAATGTGACTGTTCTTTCGGAGAAAGATTGACCGCAAAAGCTACAGTATCCTTCTTGAAACAGAGGAAGGCGACGATGGCGATGAAAAGACAACTATAAAAAAGGGGGAATAATTCCTCTGATGATTGGAATTTACTGAAAGCGAATATGACAAGCTAAAATTAAACTGCTATATAACATTAACTCAACTGCTATCACAATCTCAAATACTTAAACTATGTCTTCATCAACTACTGTCTTTGTTTCTGGTGCCACTGGTTATATTGCGCAACATGTCGTCAAGGAATTATTAGCCAATGACTATAAAGTCATCGGTTCTGTTAGATCTGAATCAAAGGGTGAAGATCTCAAGCAATTGGTGAATTCCAAAGACTTCCGCTATGTCGTGGTTCCTGATATCAGTGACATTGGCGCATTTGATCAAGCATTGAAAGACCACCCAGAGATAACTGTTTTCATTCATGCTGCTTCTCCGGTCGTATTTGATACTACTGATCCAAAGAAGGATGTTCTTGATCCAGCTATTGAAGGAACTAAGAATGTTTTGAATGCAATTAATCAATACGGTACCAATGTTTCTAGACTTGTTGTTACTTCGTCAGTCGCAGCTGTCCTTCCTGGTTTGGACTTTGTTAAGGATAAAGTCTACACAGAAGATGATTGGAATCCATTAACCATTGAAGTTGGATTAAATGACACTTCAAAGACTTATTTTGTATCCAAGACATTTGCTGAAAAAGCTGTTTGGGAATTTGTCAAGACCCAAAAACCGCATTTTCAAGTTTCAGTAGTTAACCCATCGATTGTTTTTGGTCCACAAGCTTATGAAATTAAAGACAAATCTAAATTAAACTCCCTGTCAGAGATTCTTGCTGGTATTTTTAGATTAAAAGCTGATGACCAATTTCCGCAATTGGCTGGTGCTCTGGTTGATGTTCGTGATGTTGCCAAAGCTCATTTAGTCGGCTTTGAAAAAGATGAAGCAATCAATAAAAGATTGCTTTTATCAAATGAATTATTTACTCCTGACTTGGCTGCTCATATTGTTAAGAAGAACTTTCCAGATTACCAAGGTCCTGTTGGTGACTTGACCAGAAGCGATCAAATCATTGAAAACGCTGTTTCTAAAATTGATTCTTCTAGAACTAATAAAATCCTTGGTTTTGAATTGATTTCTTTGGAAGAATCTGTTATTGATGCTTATAAACAATTCATTGGTGCCTAAGCTAGGTATATACTGAATACATAAGATTTTTTTTTTTTTTTTTGCAATCAAAGATGTCTTTGTAGCGAACATGAAGCCTGCAACGAAAAAAAACAAACCAGGCAGAAGAAAAAAAATTGTAGTAATCCATCGGGTTCTGTAATCAAATCTACCAACCTTGCAACTATGAGCAATGAAATAGAATCAGTCAAACCAATAATCCTACCCCTAGTTTACTGTGACTCGGAGCCAGAAGTCCTCATATTCAACATCGACGATATCAAGAAATTGAGAAACGACTACAACATTCTTGGTCTACTCACAGGTACATTACAACAATATCCACAACAAAACATATTCCTTTCTGTTCCATTGAAACTTGTCATTTGGGAAGTGTTATGGTTAGTTAAAAACAAGAAAGCCATTTTGGTTGATCAAAAGAAATACAGAAATGCCAGGGTTACCAGTAGTATAGATAACAAGAACTATTCAGGAAATTTGATCTCTACATCTAATTCTGAAGAATCATCTGATATTGAATTGGCTAAACAGTACCAAGTTCCTATTCCCGAATATATCACGAAATACTTGTCCCTGTCTAGTTTGACAATTGATACGTTCATAAAATATAACAAATATTATAACTACCTACAAAATCAGGGATATTTCATCAATCCTGGGTTGAAATTTGGTGGTGATTTAGTCATATATCCTGGTGATCCATTGCGTTACCACTCTTATTCTATAGTGAAATTTGAGTTTGCTGATGTGCACGAAATTGTTGTTGGTGGAAGGTTAGCAACCAGTGTCAAGAAGAATTTGGTTTTGATAGGCGAACGAGAACCTTCTGATAAGAAACACAATACAGTTAATGATGAAGTTATAGAGGAGCTCTTTCAAGAGTCGCAACCATTGACATTCTCTATAGAATGGGCGGGTTTTGGTTAGACAGAGTATTTATATTTTAAACTATAACAAAAAAGTAAAAAAAAAAAAATATAGACTAAAAACAATAACGGTAATAGATTAGTGAGATCCCGGGTGTCTGGCATCTCGATGGTGACCTCTCGTGCCTCTCATCCCCTTGTTTCCATGACACGGGGTTCTTGCTCTGTCAGTATGCTTCCCATTCAATGCTTTTAAAATTCTTTCAGACAACTCGAAAGCACTCTCTTGATTTGATGTATTTTCAACAACGTCAACAACAGATGCAAAGTTGTCTTTGCTGTCATCTCTATGGGTATCAGTTTTATCTGACACAATTGTTCCATTAACTGCATCAACAACTCTCAGGTACTCTCTGCCATGTCTTCCAAATTTGAATTTAGATTCATATTTAGAAGTTGTTGCACCAGCTCCATGGTTTCCCTTTGATGAAATCACAAAATGTGAAGTACCATTCTGAGATGAGCTGGTTTTTATATTACCAATACCTCCACCAAGGGTGTGATCCAGACCTTTGGAATGGACTAATTTAACATCTAAATCAACACTGAAACCTCCATGGGAGTCTAATTCCTTTGCCAGTTGGTCTACCTTCAAAACTAATGGGTATTTCAAAGACACATTTGATGCAATTATTGCATTTTCTGGAAGTCCTTTCTTGTGTCTACCAAAAGAATGTTCCTTATCGTCATCAAAAAATTCAGGCACATCGTTATCTTGAATAAGAATTGAATGTGAGGAGTGACCAACGTGCACAATAGATTGACGATCCCCTGATCTTTTATAGTTTTGGACATTGGCAATTTCAGCTGCAGAATAACTGCTGATTGTGGAATTGATAACGGTGTCATTCTTCAATTTCAATACAATGTTACTGATCAATTGAGCTCTTAAGTCAGCACTTACCACTTGTTGAAGGGAACGAGTGAAGTATGGAGATAAAGCAAATACATGACCTCTACCAGAATCTTCGATACTAAGAACTTCACCGGATGATTCAACAACTTGATCGTTTTCAAAAGTCAACAAATTAGCTGTAGTAATCCAGTTTTCATTAACAGACAACTTGTCGTCTTTGCCAATTTCGCCCAACACATTACTGATCTCAATTTCCAAGACTGTGTCCTGAGAAGCTTGGTGTTCCCAAAGATATGGCAACAAACCACTGACATCCACATCAATAGATGGAACGTCAAATGCGTTGAATGAAACCACAGGAGACCACAAAGCTGGAGAGATACCACCAGTGAAAATGACAGGTTCTGGAGTTTGGGTAACAATCTTTTTACCGTTGAAGTAAACATTCACAGCTCTAGCTGGTCCTCTGCCAATAAATTGGTTACCATCATCTGCAAAAACATCTCTGAATTTGTCAATTACATTGGAGTACCAGAATTCGTCAGCTGCGTTACCTGAAGTAAAGATGGAAAGTTGCAAACGAGTTGTGTTCTTGGAAACTTTTGGTAAATCAACAGCAAGTCTGCCAGAAGCAAGATAAACAACAGGAGCTTCGTTTGGTTTAGAGCTGAAGGTCAATGGGTAGATTTTATCAGCAGGCTTATCTGTGGAGAAAATTTCACGCTCTTTATGGAATCTGTGATGAGGGCCATGTGGTGGTCCATGAGGAGGATGATCTGGGTGATCTGGGTGATCTGGGTGATCTGGGTGATCTGGGTGATCTGGGTGATCTGGGTGATCTGGGTGATCTGGGTGATCTGGTTCATGTGGTGGTCCATGAGGTGGATGATCTGGGTCATGTGGTGGATGTGGTGGTCCATGATCTGGGTGATCTGGTTCATGTGGTGGTCCATGAGGTGGATGATCTGGGTCATGTGGTGGATGTGGTGGTCCATGATCTGGGTGATCTGGTTCATGTGGTGGTCCATGTGGCGTTCCATGAGGTGGTCCATGAGGTGGATCCTTTGGCTCCTTTGGTTCCTTTGGTTCCTTTAGGTCCTTTGGATCCTTTGGTTCCTTAAGTTCCTTTGCTTCCTATTCCTCCTTTGGTTACTATGGTTCATTTTGCTGGAAAAAGTTGCCGGTGATTTCGTGTATATGGAGCTGCCACTGAAGTGGAGTGGTTCCCTTTATTTCCTTTTTTATTTCACTTTCTGTTGTTAGGTGGCCGCTTACCAAATTTTGATTTCGTGGGGGAGAAGAGGTGGGTAATTTAAGACAGGACGATCACCTTCTTTAGTTTTTCTTTCATTTGATTT